ACCGATAACCGTTGGGGTAGACGAGTTCTGGAGTGGAGACTGCGTCTAGGCAAACGTAGTGTAGGACGTCCTCAGGCGCGATGGAGTGACGATTTGCGCAAGGTGGCTGGCAGGAGCTGGATGCGAGTAGCCCAAGATCGATCTAAGTGGCGTGCATTTGGAGAGGCCTATGTCCAGCAGTGGACTAAGATAGGCTGTTGATGATGATGATGATGAGAACCATTTAAATCATATTTCCAAAAAGTGTCAACTAGCTTATTATTTTCTGCTAGTAAAAAATCTTAGCGTTTAAAATCTAGAAGTTAAGGTCATGTGGGTTCTTGGTCGTGTTTTCGGTTTTCGGTTTGCTTATACTGTATATTGCAAATGTGATTTTATTAGTGGCTATTGATATTTATATCCTTATTATTAAATTTAAATGTTTAACATCTTTGGCTACGTAATTTTTTCTGCCTTAGTTTTTTTGCCTGTGGCATCGATATCGTGATAAATCATTTCAACTTTCCATAGAAATTGCTTGCCAAAAATATTTTATCTTATAGCATTTTCTTCAAATTAACAACATGGAATTATAAGGTTGCACTGTACCAGATTATACCATCACTTAGTGTCCTATTTACTTAATTCTGCTAAAAGCTCTTCTAAAGCCTAAAGGCAGATTTTTAACTTAATTGTTTTCGCGATCCTCTTCAAAGCTTTTGAAACGTGTTGATATGACATAACTAACTGTATTCTCTTTATGTTTTTATTTATTTTTTAAGCATTTAACTGCTAGATGTTTAAATCTAAAGAAAAGTTTACTAGAAAAAAAATCCACGCGGACCAGGCAGCGGACAATCAATCAATTTAAACATCTAGCAGTTAAATGCTTAAAAAATAAATAAAACCATAACTTTAATTGCTATTTCTTCTTTCAAATGTAGGGCTACTACAATACTTGAAAAAGTATTCATTTGATATTGTGGGTTACCTACAATGCGAAGAGATGGCGCTGCCTTGCAGCTTAAGGCTAGGAAAATTTCAACGCGGCTAGTAGGGCCGTGGTAGCATAATGGTCAGTGCATTCGCCCGGATAGCGAAGGATGCGGGTTCGAGTCCCGTCCGCTGCCTGGTCCGCGTGGATTTTTTTTTCTAGTAAACTTTTCTGTATTCTCTTTACTTACTTTGAGATAAAAGATACCACGGAAAGCGATAAAATAACTCATTAAGGCACTTACCCCCTTATTAATAAACGTACAGAAGAATAAGCTTTGATTAGTTACTCCATGTTTTGTCTCTGTTCATTGAATGACAAACGGCATTTGAGTGATGTGAACTAAACACGGTGTAACTAGTCGAAGCTTATTCCTCTTTTAGTATTAAGGGGTTGAAGTATAACGGTTGGGTCGCGTCGTAATGAATACAGAATAAAGATAAGATGAAAAAGAAAATAAATAAAAATAATGTAAATAAATACTTTACATATTAATATAACTTGGTAATTCAGGATAAGTATATCATATATTTTAAAGAGATTAGTATGATGACAGAAAGGAAAGCGTGACCATAATAAATTGTATTGAATGCAAGATGTCAGCAAATAAAAATAAAGAAAAAGTGAAATACACTAAGCAAGCTTGGAACAAGAAGACATCAAAACATTTCTTGTATCTTATATTAACATTAAATACACCTAAAGTTTCATAAAAAATAGGACTCGTAGGTACTTATTAGTATTTTATAACTATAACATATCTTTAGGTACACCGGGGTGTTAATCAAATGATCTACCTAGTCAACTTAAGCGATCGATTGTAAGCCAAAGATAAGAAGCAGACGTTCCCACTCCAAATGTCATGTAGACATCCCCATATCCTTTATATTACACGTAGAATGTAAACATATCAAGGACATCTAAATTTTGTGTTGCTCTAAGTAAATCGAAGAGATATTTCGACGTTATTAATTTGTTTTATTTATTTTTTGTTGTCTATACAAATTGTAATAGAGTTCACCAAGCAAGTAGAAAATTGTTCGTGACCAATTTAAAAAATAAAGAAATAATACAACAAAAACTGGACAAAATCTGTATCATGTTTACCATACGGTTCGTTTTCGTCCTCAGGTGCTATATTAAGCTTGGCCTTTGGTTTGTTCTATTACAAATTGTATTTAACTTTTTATTGTTATTAGACCAGAATCTCATCTACACGTGTGAAAAGGAAAAATTATGATTAAAGTGAGTATACGAGCGAGGTCACTTTGCATGCGTGAAGATGAGATTCTTGTTTTATTGGCTTATATAAATTAAGAGTGTGCCAAAAGTTGAGTGATTGGATACTAGAGATTCCATTATATTCGAAAGTTAAAAGAAAGGGTATTAAATCATTTCCATGGTTTTCAAGTACCTATGTATTATATTTTTGTGATTTGCAATGTTTTAACCGATTAAAGTGTGATACAAATGCTAATTACCATCTTGCAATATTTAGATGTAAAATTAAATTTTATGACTTGTGCAAAATTTTGAACTTAATAACCTTGAAAACTTTATACAAAGCAAACTGAAAATCCCTTTCATAATACCAGCACTTCACGTGCCTATTCGTGTTTGCTGATTGCAGAAGTGACAATAGTCTCTCCTTTTCATTTCTTATAGAGCATTGTTAGAATATACTGTTGCCAAAATGACAAACAGCAAATACAAATAGCCATGTGCAGTACTAGCATAATAAACATCCTTACATGCCGAAAAGTACCTCTAAACGCCAGACAAGTTTCGTTGTAGTAGTAGCGAGACATCACATACGCACAGAAGAGCAACATCATGCTTGAACAGCTATTATTTTAGTTCTTAATATGACCCCAAGACGTTGAATGAAACAAATCAGTTCCATATTTTCCAAGTCATTATAATCCTTTTTAATTGTAATTACAGTCACATTGGTATCGATTCTGACATAGACCTAAACTTAAATTTGACAAGGTGTATCCTTTTCATCCTCTATACAGAATGAAAAGGAGAGACTGATGTTAAATTTAGTTTTAACTTTTAAGTTTAGAAATCATGCCAGAATCAATACCATTGTTGACTTTAATTTATGCTGAATATTTATAATATGTATTTATAAAATGTTTAAATTAGTGTACCTACCTACTCTAGATACCCTAGATCGCATAGTATTTTAATCATGAATGGAGTAACTTATGTCAGCTCCAGCAGGGCTACAAAATCGCCAGCATTTCATCTGAATACTTACAAATAATTTTCTGGGGAAAAGAAGGAATCTGGTTTCATCGCTACATATTGAAATGGTTGTATTGTATTCTAGCATTTGGGAATAATAATTCGAAAGATTAATTGCTTACATGAATTGAATTATTACATACACTTTTAGCCCGGTATCACAGTCTGTATACCTATTTGTGATGACCGTATTTTCTATTTAACGTAATAAATAAATATGTATACATTTTTTTTAAATAATGGCATTCAAAAAATATATTATTGAATTTGCTTTCTGGCCTTTCACTTTTGTTTAATAGGGTTTGAAATCGCACTAAATATATTTTGTGTCTGAAAACCATTACATCTGAAATACCTGCGATTGATGTTTGTAAGTAAATAAATATAAATATGGATTTATCAGTTGTTGAGTATCTTTTAAAATGATCTGAATATTTTTGTTATGCCGAAAGTGGTACGAAATATATGCATAGTAAAAATTAAAACGGCGTTTTTATTTGTGCTTCTTAACTATAATTTTGTCGTAAGGTGTTGACTTAAATCTTTACATTGAAATAATCTGTAAAGCTCAATTTATACCGCCACGGAATGGTCATTTTTGCCACATACGAAGTTTTACCTACCTTTAACATTATAAACTTCATGTCAATTGTTATTTAAAACGAGGGTATTCTCGAAAGTGTGAGAGGATTAGAACGCGTAATTTTTTTGGCTAGTATTTAGTTTTAATTATACCTACGTTATATAATTGACATAAAGTCCATTATGATATAGACAATCTCGTTAGAAAAATCGCTTACATTCTATTCGGGTGATATAAATTGTGCCTAACTGTTCCATACTATGATAAGCCATTTTAAACCAACTTCCAAAAACGGAGGAGGTTCGATATTTGTAGCAGCGGTATTCAAACTGCAGCCTACTAGCACTAGCCCTTATAATATGGCCGGGTAAACCGCCACCACTATCGCCAAATGGAGAACATAAAAGGGTCAGAATGTTACACTAAAATATACCTAACATCATATTATAGACTACGTATGTTATATTTAATTTCACTAGTTTTTATTTCATGTAAATAGTCTTAGCGATAGGATCCCGTTTTTACCCTTTAGGTACGGAACCCTAAAAACCTAAAGGTCTGCTAGGCTCACGGTATTCTTAAAGAAGTAATGACCCCTAGTTAACACCCTTTTTTAAATTTCCGAGATGTCACGCGCTCCCTGTTTTTAACCGAATTCAAAAAAGGAGGAGGTTCTGTGTTCTACTGTATTTTTTTTTATGTATGTTCACCGATTTCCAAAATTCTTTTTTTATTCGAAAGAGTGCACTTCCCAGGTGGTCCCATTGGAACCAAGTCAGGATCTTGATGGTGGAATCCGGGGAAATCGAGGGAAACCTTCTTAAAGGCACGCACGATGTTTTTTAACCGACTTCAAAAAAGGAGGAGGTTCTGTGGTCGACTGTGTATATATATATTATTTATGTATGTTCACCGATTTCTCCGTAAATTGTTGACAGATTTCCAAAATTATTTTTTTAATCAAAAGAGTGCACTTCCGATGTGGTCCTATTGGAACCAAGTCAGGATATGATGGTGGAATCAGGGGAAATCGAGGGAAACCTTAAAATTTCAAAGGCACGCACTTAGACCATTAAACCACTGGTCTAAGGGCACGCAGGGGCGGCCCTAGGGCGGTGCGAGCGGTGCGGCCGCACCGGGCGCCGTCATATGGGGGGCGCCGAAAACGGCCGAAAGTCCGACTAGGTACCGATCGACCTACGCGCAAGCAAATCGTATTGTTGCCCGGCGAGTAGTGACGAGCGACGAACGGGGAGGCGGTGAGGGGAACGGGTTAATTTGCTTATTTGGAAGTAAAGTTCGAAATACAATTTTGACTATGATTAAGTCATCCAAATACTTCTCTATCAAACTGGACTCCTGATGAACAATTATCAATCAATAACTTTCCGTTTGTTGACACTAATGGAGAAGAAGTGAAAGTACGAGAGTGTTTCGTAACTTACAAGCCGGTAAGTGATTCTTCAGAAGGGCACACTGGCCTTTTTCTTGATGCAATTGACTTGGATATGAACGATTGTCGAGGTCAAGGGTACGATAATGGCGCCAACATGGTAGGAATAAACAAAGGTGTCCAAACCAGAATTACGAACCAATATCCTCGAGCAATTTTTAATCCATGTGGCTGTCACAGCTTGAATTTGGTGGTAGCAGATGCAGCGAAATCACCCGGTAAATCGGTCTCTTTATTTGGATTTCTCCAAAGACTATTTGTATTATTTTCTGGATCAACAATGAGGTGGGAAGTCATATCCAAACACATAGAAGGACTATCACTAAAAAAAGTTTGCGAAACTCGTTGGGAGAGTAGATTTTCTAGCCTTGCTTCTGTTCGCTACAATTACTGTTCAGTTCGTGATGCTCTTTTGAATCTTTACGAAGAAACGAATGATTCAGTTGCTGCATCAGAGGCTTTGTCACTGATTCAGAATATGGAGCAATTTGAATTCTTAGTTACATTGGTGGCTTGGTATGATATACTGTTTCAAGTAAACATTGTAAGTAAAGCTATGCAGTCTGAAACTATGGATTTATCAAACGCATCGCAATTGCTGAAAAACTGCTCGGAATTTGTGAAGCAATACCGGACTTATTCGTATTATCAAATAACAGCTAAAGAAATAGTTTCTGAGGCAGGCATAGATCCGGCGTTTAAGCCAGTCCGATCCCGGAGAAAGAAGCGATTATTTGAGTTTGAAGCTGCAGATGAAACACCAACAGATCCCGAAGAACAGTTTAAAATTAACGTCTTTTACCCTATGATAGACACAACTGAAAATGCATTGGTCACTCGGTTTGGACAATTATCCAAATTCAATGATACCTAGGTAACACTGAAAATTATTAGAAAATGAAAAACGGCTTACTGTAGAAAGTTGCCAATACTTTTATTGTTTTTCGAAGTAATCTCCGTTCCTCTCTACACATCGTCGCATTCGATGGAACCACTGAGAAAAGCAGTGGGCCCATTTTCCCATAGGGGTCTCTTCTATGGCATTTTCGTACGCTTTCACCACATCTTCAGGGCTTGTAAAGCGAATACCTCGAATTTTATCTTTAGTTCTTGGGAATAAATGAAAATCGCAGGGCGCCTTGTCAGGAATGTATGGCGGATGACTCATTATCTCGACACCTGCCATAGTCAAATATTCAACAGTCCGTTTTGCGGAGTGCGATGAAGCATTGTCGTGGTGAAGGAGGATCCTGCTTCGAGGGCGCTGCTGTCGAATTTTTTCCAAGACAACGGGCAAACAGCGATTCACATAACAGTCTGCAGTAACTGTCCTTCTATCTTCTAGCACAACTGTCGCGAAATGACCTTACAGACCAAAGAATTAGGCAATTATTTTTTTCCTTTACTCCTTCCTTTCTTTACCTTAGTTGCCGATCCTCGAAAGAAATCACCCACTGAGCTGATTATCTTTTGGTTTCGGGTTCGTAGCAATATATCCAGCTTTCATCGCCTGTGACGATGTCAAATACAGCATTTGAGTCACCGCCGTTGAACTTATCTAACATTTGGCGACACCAGTCCATGCGAAGGTGTTTCTGGTCGTCGGTTAAAGTATGGGGGATCCATCTGGTACAAAGCTTCCTGACGCCTAAATGTTCGTGTAATATTTTTTGAACTTGACTCACACCAATGCCTAGGCTTGCCAGTATCTGCTGATAGGTCACTCTCTTATCTTCCTCTATCATGCGACGCACAGTACTGATGTTATTTTCAGTAGTTGTTGTTAAAGGACGTCCCTCACGCGGATCATCGTTGAGATTGCTACGTCCACGCTTAAACTCGTTAAACCAATTGTAAATAGTGGCACGAGATGGGGCTTCATTAAGAAATGTTAATCGCAGCTTATCATAGCTTTGTTGTTGAGTAAGCCCACAACGAGTTATAATAAGTCATTGACCGAAAATTTTCTCGCGTTAGGTTCATTTTCACTTGTAACAAGAGTTTTAAATTTGCCGCCAATTCACAAAAATGACAAATGAATGCAATATACTACATTAGGTTACCAAAGTCACGGTAATAATATCATACAGTATTCTATCTTCATACAAACGGTCGGAAAGCGAGTCATACCTACGCTACTCGAGTTCGATGTGCGCTCGGCGTGCACCCAGTCGCGAATGCGCCGCCGCCCCGCAACGACGACCGAACGGTCTGAATTGTTTTTTATGCAGTTCACGGACCTAAAAAAAAGACGGACGTAACATCAAAGGCAAATCATGTGAAGCATGCAAGGTCAGACAAAATCGTTTGTTGTACACTACCTACACTCACACTAATGCACCAGGTCGGACAAACCGCTGCCATTTGACCCCGCGTGACAGCGGCAGTCACACATTCAATTGCTCTGATAAAAATAATTAAAAATGCCGTCTTGTGTGGTGAAATCCTGTAAAAACTACACGAATAAATTTAAAAAGTCACAAGGAATCACCTACCATGCGTAAGTATTGACAATTCTTGATATTTATTCCATATTATATTTTATTTACTGGGATGAAATTTGTAAACAAAAATACAACTGTATGGCTTCTTTATTTACGGGAAATTTTCCCTAAAAGTAGGGAATTTTGTATTTCTTGATTTTGTGACTCGGTAAGGTCAGATTTCGTAACTTTTTAGGGTTCCGTATCCCAAAAGGAAAAGAATAGAAGCCATATTATTCATAGAATATTTTATGTTTTATAAAATGGTATGTTCTCGCTGTGAATTCTTTGTTGTTTATATATATGTAAATATGTCGCAAACTTTTTTGTGTTTAGCAACTGATTGTAACTAATTAATTCTTTGTGTTTTTTTTATTGTTTGGTTTTAGTTTTGGTTTTTGTAAGTTCTAGTTTGTCATAGATTAATCTTACTTCATTTTTATTTGATTTTTTAATAAATTCATTTCTCTTGTTTTAAGATACTAAAAGCATTGAACCTATGTTGTTATTTTTTTTTTCTCTTGTTGATTGTTATGGTTCTAATCTTGTTTTATTATTAAATTAAAAATGTCTCGTCAACCCTGCCAGAATTATCAGCGCTGCAGCAGCCCTGGTGTTGCTGTAGTATTAAGCTGAGGCAGGGACCTAGTTGGCCTGTCTTTCTGTGTTCTGTGTTTGTATATGTGTTTCAAGGTCAATAAAATTTCTTTCTTTCTTCTTTCTATATAAATTATTGTATTGCCTCCTTTCTAATAGATTTCCTAGAAATAGAAAACGTAGAAATGACTGGGTTTTAATTATTCGATACTGCAGAGAGGATAACAATTGGAACCCATCACCTGCCAGTACTGTGTGCAGTGCACATTTTGATAATTTAGATTTTAAAAATACAGCTAAGGGGCTACGTTGTTTGGTTCCGTACGCCATTCCAAAAAGGGTAAGTATGAGATACTGTATTTGTACTATTTGTTTATAATTTATTGTTTACGCATTAAGATAAGTATTTTTCAATTACTACCCGGTTAAGATTATTTCTATGCATTTGGCATAATGTGTTTTCGTGCAAGCTTGTTGGCGAAATACAATCCTTCTTTTTCTTGCAGTTTATTTAACTGATTCCATTAGATTTCCTTATTACTGCTATCTAAATCACTTTTTTAGCTTCCCAATTATTACTAATAAGCTTAAACATATGGACAGGATCTAAAATACAGCCACATCCGATCCATCTGCAGGATTTTAAAAAGTGGTATTTAATTCATATTTGTTATCTATTTTACATCCCAATAATTACATTAATGTTAAATTACTTGAATGACCATCGAATGTTAAGCATGCGACTTTAAGCCTGCATCATAACATTTTAAAAGACATAAATAAATAAAATTAAATTTCTGCTCTGCACTTACCAGTAAATATCCCAGCGGTAATTTAAAATGCTAATTGATACCGTATATTAAGAATACGAATGCTTCAGAAGCAAGGGTTTGACAGTTTTCTGAAGTTCCTGTCCCCATATCGACATATCTCTTTTCCTCACTCTGTCAGTCTTTAAATACCTACTAAATCAATGAATGAAACACTTACATTTAAAAGAAGAAATAATAATATTAGTCTATTATATTTTTATTTTAAGCATTAATCTGCGCGGTTTAGGTATATTAATGTATGATATTTAACCAGATACTTAATTTTTATGTAAATAATAAATTTCTTTATATGTAGCAAGTGTTTTCATTTTTCTAACGGTCGTCATAAAAATGATGTTTGATAGACCCACATTATGTTTCTAAAGTGCACCCGTTTAAATTGCTGAAATATCGGGAGCTCACATCTAATAAAAACATGGTAAATATCCCGTTATTGTAATAAATACATATTACAATAACGGGATTACCTACATAGTGTTAACAATATTTTAGTTTGAGACATTTAAAAAATAGGGAAATTGATGACTTACATGACAACCCTCAAATCACGCACACACGGTAAACGGGCGGCCATTTGCATGCTTCACTCGTGATTAGACGAGGTTACGTCCGTCTTTTTTTTAGGTCCGTGATGCAGTTAGCCGTGCTTAAACATGCGTTTTGTATTGTAAATATTTAATTTAATTAAGTAGATACCTACATAATTTAGTATGGAAAAGAACAAACGACGATCAATATCGTACAACAGCACAATTGCCGTTTTTGGTTGCTTGAACTCTTCAATAACACACCCAGAGATATAATTTTTTAAATTACCTGAAATATTGGAAAGGTGTCTTACCTTTATAGAAAATTTTTATATACCTATCTACTAGTACGTTATTTGTTTCTAATATTTAGGTATTTCGGTTTTTCCATCGTGTAAATATCTGGAATAATATATAAATAAGTGGTTAGGATGAAAAAAGAAACAAACGAGTTATCTACCTACACTCGCGTTAAAAACAAAACTACATAAAATACTCGTACTGTAGGCTGGCGGCCCTACCGCGTGCCAACGCAGCGTTCGGTGTAGGCATTTATTTTCAAGGACAGGGCGGAGTCACAATACTGTATAGATAATATTACCGTGCCAAAGTGTTCTAAAATTGATATTCAAAAAAGTTTTCATTAGCAATGTTTCTAACTGGTCAGTTCTAAACTTTTTCAGTGTTACCTATGTACATGGTCTTTTTTGTATAATATCAAAATAATTCCTGATAAGTCTTTATTAGAAAAAGCCTGTGCAGATTTGCAAATGATTTTAACCGATGGGGAAAAATAAGTAATGTGTCTAGTTGCGAATTGGTTGAAGAACTTTTGAGTCTGAATCCATTATTAAAAAACCTTGAATCAGCAGAGCCAATAAGTCCTTCAACATATTAAAAAAAAATGGCAGGATATTTTCCCGAATGTGTGGACAATGCTTCGGATTTTACTGACCTGAAATTAAAACTAATTATAATGCGATTCAAATAAGAATAGGAAAGCCAATGACCTCCATCTGTCAAATGTCGCTTGAAAAGTACGGTTTGCAAAAAAATCTCGCAACACTTTTTTAGCACTCCGCTGATTCTAGAAAAATGGATGCATGTAACTTATGTACGCGCGTGAGAAGTTATACTTCTTTAGCATCATTAAAAATATTTTTTGAAGTTATACTTCTTTAGGCGCGTTATGAAAAAATTGATGAGAGTGAAATTTTAAGATGCGCGCGCATCATGTAACACAAAATTTTAACAGCATGAAGTTGGTGGCCAACTTCTAGCTGTTAATTATTAAAACCGCGATATCTCGACTATACTATCTACGACTCACCATTCGTGAGAGAAAAAGTGACTAGACCATTTTTGTAGAGAATTGTATGATCTTCAACTTTTGTCAGATCTATTTTCACGATAAAACTTACCGTTTTCGAGAAAAATGGAAAGAACCATAATTTTGTTTCGAAGAAGATTTTAGACATTTAATTTATAATGATGTATTTAACGTCTCTGCCAATTTTCAGCCCTATGCAAATTATCCCTAAGTTATGACTTATTTTTGTCTATTTTGACTGGACTTTAGAGAAAATTAACTTGTCCACACAGTCAGTAGAAAGAGATTGTAAAGAGCCATCTGAAAACGAAGAGGATGGATGAAGATGAAGATTTTACTGATTTCAGTACACAAGTCATTGCCTACATAGCAGGCAATGTGGTTCATGTCCCAATTAAAAAAATCAAATGCGATATTTGCCCTGGAGCCCTAATATCAAATTCAAGTATTAATTAACATAAATTTATTTCGTTAAAAGATAAAGGTGGCCTGATATATCCGGCCGTGGTGATGTTACAAAAATATGCAAAAGTGCAGAAACTGTAATACGACAACATGCAGATAATTTGAAAAATGTCAAAAAATAAATTTTAGTCCCAAAAATATAAAAAGAAGTTTATTGGCACTTCATTATTTCATGACATTTCATTTTATCAAGTCGGTGAATTGCCATTATCTAACCACGTAATAGATTCAATTAAAGTGGTAATTTAAATATATATAGATATATTTCTTTTGAAAAATAACTTTAAAAAAGAAACAAAGCGTCACCTTTTTCATAAATATATATTGTTTAAAGGTCAATAAATAACTATCTGTAGTAATGCGTTTTACATTAAATCATTTTCTTTATCTTTACTGACTTTGACAGGATACAAAAAATTCCTTACAACCAAGTCAAGTTCAACTCGCACTTGGCATATTTAATATCGATAATATTTCATGACTCAGTGACAACCACTAGAGCTAAAATCGGTGTGAACGAATGAACGCTCACATTCACGACTGTGAGCGCTGATTCGTTCGGTTGCTTGATGTCGCGTCGTTTGATTGGCTTATTATCTATTAGGTGGAAGTGTAGTGGGGACCAGCCGGCGACATCGGTTCTCACACTGGCGATCGCTTATCACCCTTCTAACCTCTTTCTGTGTTCTGTGATAAAAATAATCAAATGGTAGTTTTCACTACAATGGTAGCGGGGGCCATTAGAGTGGCTGGTGCGTGCTCCCTCGGTCAGCTGCGGTGGTGGTTGGGCGGGCGTGCGGCTTATACGGGCCACGGTGGAGGCTTTCTTGTAACGTGCCTCGCGGTGTTTCACGGGGCACCTACATACTATGGTTCACTGGATACGGGGCCCTTACAGTTCGCGCATGTTGCCGGTTGCGAACGTGTGCGGGGGCAGTCGGCGGCGGCATGCGGGTCTCCGCAGCGCACGCAAGCAACGCGCGGTGGCAACCCAGTGGCGATCGAGATTACTGTATGTGAGCAACTAATACCATAGACAAGACGATAAGGGAAATGATCAGTCTAAACAAAACATACGTTTGACGTTAATGGTTCCACGGCATTGGAGGCCATGGACATGAATTCCATGGTACATTATCGGGTCGGGCATTACTGACACGGGCTGACAATGCGCAGCTGCGGAAAGTACAGCCAGGAATGTACGGCTGCGGAATTGGAGACCATGTAGATGCATTCCAAGGCCGGACTTTCAGTGGCCGTGCTTTGTCAGGCTGTACATTCCGTGGCTGTACATTGGTGTCGATTCTGGCATGATTAAAGCTACGTTTAACTCCAGTATCTCTTTTTCATTCTGTATAGAGAATGACAAGGATACACTGTTGTCAAATTTAAGTTTAGGTTAAGAGAATCATCCAGAATCGACATCATTACCGCCGCTGGCCTGGGGAATTGTTTAAAAAGTTACTCTATAGTTTTCAAGGGAATCAAACTGATATCAGTATCTCTAAGTAGTCTGTGACTGATATCTCCAAGGCCGTAAAACTTATATAAAAAAAAAAGAAATTTAAACTCTAAAGAAAATATAACTAGAAAAATTCCACGCGGACCAGGCAGCAGACGGGACTCGAACCCGCACCCTTCGCAATCCGGGCGAATGCACTGTTATATTATATAATTTCTAGTTATATTTTCTTTAGATTTAAACATCAAGCAGTTACATGCTTTAAAAATAATAAAAATTATAACTATAATTGCTATTTCTTCTTTCAAATGTTTAATACTTGTAAAAGTATTCATTTGACATTGTGGGTTTACCTATAATGCGAAGAGACGGCGCTGCCTTGCAGCTTAAGAATAGCTAGAAAGAATTTCGACGCGGTCCATGAGGGCCGCGGTAGCATAATTGGTCAGTGCATTCGCCCGGATTGCGAAGGGTGCGGGTTCGAGTCCCGTCTGCTGCCTGGTCCGCGTGGAATTTTTTCTAGTTATATTTTCTTTAGATTTAAACATCAAGCAGTTACATGCTTTAAAAATAATAAAAATTATAAATTTAAACTCGTTAATAAGGTTTTTCATAAAATAAGTGTCTATGTTAGCTGCCTTTTTATTTCTTTGTATATAGAATACATTTAAAAAAAACCTGATACTTAGCAATATATAAAGAAGAATATCTGAAATTCATCAAACAATAAAATTATTTATTAAAATGAATTTTCTAATTCTAATAAATAAAAAAACTAAAAATAAGGCTGTATGGGCATTGATCCTTTTGCCTTCCCTGAAAAGGGAGAACTACTACAAAAAAATAAAGAAATCCGACTGTTTTTCACAAAGAGTAAAGTAAGTATACCAAAGGAAAAGAGAGCCCCCTTGCAGTAAATTTTGACACCACTAATTGAAGTGTGGCGCCATCTCTGAACAAGATCGACAACTAGTACGAGTTACGCACGCTATAGGTATACATAATATGTATATATGTAGCTAGGCTAGGCGCGCTATTAATAAATATAAATCAATGGACCATAGTGAGGTATTATTGTACACATGATTTAAGGTTATTTTCAGAAAATAAATTTATATGCACACTTATTACAATAATACCTTACTATGGTCCACTGATTTATATTTAGTTTTACTATATGCCACGGAGTTGTCACATTTGCGCGCCCAGCAATTGGTTCTTTCTAAGTAAGGACGAAATACAGTAGAATGCTATTTTTCTGCGGTATTTCTCCCAGTATGATGAAATCACGAAGCTTCTTTATTAACTGCTAGCTGTAACGTCCGCGGTTTATAATATCCATATATTCACTCATATTCCATGAAAATTGTAAAATATAAATATACTTTATTGCACAATGAAAAACATATAGGCACGTACTTAAAAACCTTCCGAAAGAAATTCATTATAATATTATATATTCTGATGTTAAAACCTTATCTTAATCCGTTGCGTGAATGTTTCGCTAATAAAGAAGCCTGCCAGTGAAGTATGGCAAATCCATGAATGGCGCTGGGTAAAAGTAACGAAAACAAATAAATATAGACAAAATATTATTTATTTTTTTATTTTACAGTGTTTATGTTTATTATAATAAATTTGTGCGATCACTTTATTTTCATCGTCACCATCATATGCCATTTTACCCGATAAAATTCGGTTTATGCCTCTACACCAACTATAAACAATTACTCTAATTGACGTATCTTCAAACAAAGATCGTAATTTATCGTAGTGAACATCACAACTGCAGGGAAAATATACTAAGACATTTGTAAGGTCCTTAATTTTTTTCATTAAATTCTCTTTCGGAACATTTTTTTTTAAAGTGGAAACTGTGATATTCTGTATTTCAGTGAAGGTTTTCTCGCACTGGGTTGATGGGTAAACTAACCACCGTTTCTTTTTATTATATTCTTTTGCACGAATATAAGCATTATTGTTACTGCATTCTGTAGTCACTAATTCATTTTTACATGTTCTGCATCCTTTTATTACATTTGTGAGACACTTCGTCAATACCCATCCACATACATAATTACTTTGACCTACGTCACTTTCGTCATTGTTTTCGAAAACATCGTTACTTAAATTAATTAAATCATTGTCCTGATCAAGTACTTCGGAAACATGCATATTCATATTTTTTTCATTCAAGTAAAAATTTAAATTTTGTAAACAATTATAGCTGTCTTTTTCACAATTCGCTTGTATGGAATGGGGTGAGCTAAAATTATTTAAAAGTAGCGATTTGTATGCCCCTTCAAATGAAATACAATTAGGGGCAACATTACGCACACCACAACTTCGAATGTTCCCGAAAAAATTTTCCAATGGATCTTGATTGAAGTGTCTCGTTAACATGCAATCAAATGAATATTTTTGAGATAAAACGGTCCACAGAGCTTGAAAACCTTCTAATGTTCTTATAAAATTTTTAATAGTTGGTGTAACTGATTCAACAAAACGAATTTTATTGGTGTTGTCTTTTTTCCCTATAATAAATTTCATTGTTTTTAATAATTTTATAGCGTTTTGCCAAAGTTGATGGTGAGGAGAATTTTTGCGCACACAACCTTTATAAATTTTTCCATTAGGAATGTATAATGTGGATGAATTCAATGAATCAAATAATTTATCAATCATTGATACGAAAGGTATTATTTGGCGACATTCTTCAGCGACAAGTTTTCTAGCTGACAAATGTCCCGTAAACACAGCAACACTGTGGCTAAATATTTGAGCTGCATTTTTTACTCGCATTTTTTTAATTTTGTCCGGATTTAAATGTTCCTCTGTTAATTTATAAAGGCACCTTAATTCACCTAGACACTTGTCAGCTTCGAAAACACGCTGAAAGTATTCCCACTTCACAATTTTTTGCTTATTTTCGTCATTGTAATCTATGTAAATCAAATTTTTATTTAATAAATTGTTCCTTAAACCTTTGATCATATGCGGAACATCAAATAATGGAATTATTTGTTTTTTATTTACCTCGAAAAAATCGTGTCGCCACGCTTTTCCTGCTCTAAAATATTTAGTTTTGCTATCTTGTATTAATTCGTTGATAGCACCAACATTTGCCGCGCCTTGATCGCAAACTGTGCACAGAACAGTCAGTCCAGTTTCTTGAAGTTTTTTTATTACTTCTGTAATTAAATTCTTCAAAATCCATTTATTTATACTATTCGTAAAATAGTACGCCACTGGCTGCTTGTAATTGGCTTTCACACCCTTGATCATAAATACCAAGACATGGTCGGCAATTTGATTATTGTCGAAATCTGTAAACCCTTTTAGCTTGTCATTGGCTCTATCGTAATGCACTTGTGGTGATAAGGACATCTCATCAAACATGAGTATGCATAATTTGTCTTCCACATTCATTTTCTGAACAGTATCTTTTATTTTTTCAAATATTATATTCACTAAGCCAGACTTAATTTTAATTTGAGCCAAAAGAGATCGAAGCGTCTTTGTCGACGGCAAGGTAAATAATTTGGCCAGTAAAGTATAACTTTTTGCGCTTCTCTTAAAAAGAGACAGAGAAAGTATTTTTTCCTCTAAAGAGAAACGTCGGCCGGACGGCTTTTTATAAGTCTGGCTAAACTGCATTTTTGTAAATATCTTTGCAGGAGAAGACATATTTCTCGTTACCCGTTTAAACGCAATGTCATCTTTAATTTTCTCAGCATTTGACAATCTGGATTTAAAATCTCTTCCTTGCTTCCGTAACTTGTTTATTTGTCTTTTTAAATTCTTTATTTGCTGTTGATGCTTTCTTTGAGATGGATTTTTCTTTCTTGTAGCTGAAAAAAGGAAATGCATTTCAATGAGTAACAGCTAGCTTTTTTAATTTCGAACATAGATATAGAAGTTTTAAAAAGCTAAGGGAAAACTTTGTGATTGAACAAAAAAAAAAGCAACAGTAAATTTTATGCCATTGAACTCCCTCGACTTCGCCCGCGTAAACTACATTTTGTAACCCAGATGGAGACTCATACCCCGCAGGAGAAGGAAAAGCCTATATGTAAATCCCATACCTGATCTATCTACATCAGTAGTTTTTGCGTGATGAATGAGTTAACAGACATACATACAAAAATTAAAAAAGTTATTTTGGCTTCTATTGACCCTTTATAGGGTCAGAAAGGTTACATTTTTATTATATACTATTGGGTGCCCGTGTCTTCGTCTGCGTGAAAAAAACTGTTTTCCCATACAAACTTTCACCCCCCTTTACACCCCTTTTGATTGATTGATGCTTTCTAGTATAAAAAACTATCATATGCCCTTTCCTGGGACTCGAATTATCTCTATACCAAATTTCATCTAAATCGGTCAAGTGGCGAAACCGTGAAGTAGTAACAAAAAGACAGTCAGACAATTAGTTTGGATACACATTATATGTAAAAAATATTGAGATAAATGTATGTTACAAACAAACCAGCTGACTGTTGGGAAGTGAGCTATTGAACTTACTTAGTATCAAAGGCTGCCGTTTGTTATTAATTTCTTGCTTGAAATAATTATGTTCTAGTAACACTGATCCTGCATCTGAAATTAAAAGAAGACTTGAATTTATATAAAGAAAATCTGTCTTAAGTGTCTCAGAGAGTGGCGGCCGGTTGTATTCGTTTGCAATATAAGCGAGTGTTCAAACACGAGTGACCAATCAGGGCTAGCTGCGGCCGCAAGCCGCCTCTGTCTGTGAGACACTTGGCGAGTGGTAAGCAGGACGGGTTTTTAAGGTGTCGCCTACTCAGCGGTTCAGGGTTCGGATCCCGGTGTGGCAAATGTTAGTATGATGATGACGAGCATTTGGAACTAAGTCATGATTATTTATATACAGGGCGTCCCACGGCTACCTCACACGGAGGGAAAGTATATTAAATATTGAAGATAGGATATTTTAATGAAAGAAGACATCATTTTATTTTTAATAAAAACTAGAACTGCATTCACAGATTTTTTTAAAATCGCCTGCTACAACTGGGAATCAAACTCGTGAAATTTCGAACAAAAAACACGACCTATTTTATGATAACCATCGAAAGGGTTAATCATAAGGATTATTTTTTGCTTAATAACATATCATTTTAAATGAAAGGAATGTCTTATTACGTGATAAAAATAATAAAGTGATATACAAAATGTAGTACGTATGCATTTCTTTTTGAACTTACAGTTAGTTAGAATGGCTAGAAGAATTTCGACGCGGTCCGTGAGGGCCGCGGTAGCATAATTGGTCAGTGCATTCGCCCGGATTGCGAAGGGTGGGCGGGTTCGAGTCTCGTCTGCTGCCTGGTCCGCGTGGAATTTTTTCTAGTTATATTTTCTTTAGATTTCAACATTTTAACTTACTTAAGGCATATCCGATTTTATATTAGTTTGTGTTAAATAATTTTGAATAAAATGTTAAATTTAATTACTTTTCTTTCATTTAAAATGCTATGTATGGACGCTGAGCAATCTCCTTTCACGAGTTTGATTCCCAGTTGTAGCAGACGATTTTAAAAAAATCTGGTTATTACTAAAAATAAAATGATGTCTTCTTTCAGTTAAATATCCTATCTTCAATATTTAATATACTTTCCCTCCGTGTGAGGTAGCCGTGGGACGCCCTGTATATTTCAATATAAATGATGTATTCAATCCGTTACCCTAGTATCCGAATCAGAATTTTATTTGTGAAACGTAGGTTAGTGTATACATGGTATATAAAATTTTTGTTAGTATCACTACATTTTCACCTTAATTAAGGTATACAAATAGATATGGACCTATGAAAGAAGTACTATTATTTTTACATTGGAATCACGATTTCTGAATATAATTTGAAATATTACATAATATTACATACATGTCAAAGTAGATTATAAATTTTATAAGCCATAAAGTTGTCATACTAATAGTCAAAATTTTAATGGAAAAATAAGCAAAATGTCCAAAATAGCAATAAATACACATTTCTCAACTGGATTGACAATTTTAATATCTATTTTTTTTAATTGAGAACTGTTTTTCAAAAAGACATGTCCGATTTAATTACAGGATTTGTCATTCATCAACATACACTCTTTATACTATTAAAGTTTATGAAACAAATTTATTTTTAAATAGAAGCTTACTTACTTGGCACATTTTGCTTTGAAGTTGAATTTTGGACAGCATCCAACGCAATGGTCACAGATGGAACAGCAAAAGTATGTTTTTCAGAGGAACCTGAAAATGAAATGTGCTTACATTAGGTTTCTTAAATTTGATTTGATTTTGCAAAAACTTTCTGTAATCTAAATAATAAGTCGTAAGTAAGAAAATATCATTTACTGTAATAGGCACTAGACATAAAAAGAATAGTATGGATCAAACTCCATAGGAAACAAAAAAAAATGATTGACTTTAATATATTATTATTATATAATATATAAATAATAAAACCAAATCAAAATAAATTCTGAAATGGAAGCATAACTTTTTACCTGGTATATTTTCTTTCGATGTTGAATGTTTAACATCCAACGCAATGGGCTCACATGGAGCAGAAACAGTACATTTTTCAGGGGAATCTGAAAATAAAATACATAAATTTGATTTTATCCATGATAAAAAACACATTAAAAAATTGCACACTGTGAAACTACACTGCAGGCGGTGAGTGCTTGATGTTTGTCCAAATCAAAGTACATAACTATGTTTGAGAATCCTGTATATTTTTCTAAACATTTAGTTATAATTAAATATAAACAAAATCACAGTTACAATCATAAGAGTATCCAAAAAAACGTGTCAACAAGAACTCTTTAACCTACCTCTAAACTCTTGTATTGATGTTGAAGGCTGAACAATATTCAAGTCAATTGGTGCTAAGGCATGTCTCTGAGGAAGATCTGAAACAGTGAGAAATAAATAAGTAATAAATATTTCAAACACACACACCAATGGGATACTAGGGTAGCGGATAGAATAAATATACTGTACATATATAAGTATATATATATATATATAATACATATTAAACATCCATGACTGGAGTACAAATGCACGTATTCATCACACAAACATCTGCCACCACCGGGATTCGAATCCGGGACCTCTCGAGTCGGCGACACCATGAAACCCGGCGTGCAAACCACTCAGCCACGGAGGTCGTCACCGAATTATTAAAATCATATTGTTAATCAATTTTCTTACCTATAACAATTTCTTCTGATAACAAAGGTTGAGCAACATCCAAAGATGGCGTAGAGACATGTTCGTCACAATTGCCTTGAAAAAAAAATTTAAATATCAGTGTATTATTATTACCTAATACTAGAGAATGCCTTAACAATCTTATTTTTTCAATTATTCTATACCCAGTCAGTGGTGCACGGGCATGGCTCATTCTTTACTTTCATAAGCAGTTAAAACAAACAAGTTTGTGATATTAAAAAATATTTTATTGAATACTGTTAATTTTCAATAATTTTTCAGTATACGCTTGTGACACCTAACCAAGTTTTGGGCATAATCTGCATATGACATCTAAGAGAGTTTAGCACATAAACTATGTAATTTTTCTGGTTTTTGTACAATTTCTTGTGGTTTAATCAGATAATTCTAAGAACCACACAAATTTTACTGCTGCTTATCAGGGCTTTACTGAGCAATCAAGTTGTTATGTTCATAGACTTACCTGGTAAAAACATTGTCGGAATGGCTAAGCAATTTAATCGATTGTTTCTGTTTTTATCTTTATCTGTGAAGTGAATGTCACAGATTTTCATTTTCCTATACAATTTGTAGTCTTCAGGAGTTTCTAATTTCCCCCCAATAATCTCTACCCAAGCTTTAAATGTCTCGGGAAACCGTTTGGGGTGCGGAAAAACATGATTGGACACACCTGAAAGTATAAAAAAGTAGTTTAGAATTCAATGTGAACAATGCCACCTATAAGGTAGTCCACTGGTTTAACGCTAATAATTTATTTCTGAATGAAGGCTCAAACTAAATGTTTAAAATTTTTATTACCCAATGTAAAGCAGACAAAAAACAAGAGTAACTATCAAAGATAATAACATGGACCTTGTGGACAAACACTACAGTATTCTTAGGCATTACACTAGATTCGAAGCTTCAGTGGGGCCTACATATTGAGAAATTGTCGAAGATACTTAGCTTTGCAGCCTAGGCTACAACAGCTAGATCTAAGCTATGGTACCCCAAAGTTCAAATCATTTATTGCACCATGTTGTTACATTGATCTTAGATAGAATTTATAATTATAGATACAAACATGACCCTGTTAGGGCATTGCAAAATAGTAAATAAACATAAACATTTTCTTAACCTCATGTACATATTCTATATATACATTATTTATTTAAATTATTCATTTAAAAATTTTTGCAGCGAATAAAAAAATTTTTTAACAAGATATTCCTTTAGCATTAACTTAAATTTATTTGTTTTGATCTCTTCTTTAATTTTTCTAGGTAATTTGTTATAAATTTTCACATACATTGACAGAGGGCCACTTTGAAACATTTTTAATTTGCAGGTTGGTTGTGCTAATTTATTTTGTGGTCTAAGAATTTGAGGACGTTGGTAATATGGAAAGAACTCAGGGTGCTTTCTAACAAATTCGCACACGGCGTATATGTATAGGGATGCTGAAGTTAATATATTGAATTTGGCAAAGTACGGCTTGTAGCTGCAAGCCGTACTTTGCCAAATTCAATAACACATAAAAGTTTATCCACTCCTGTACTACTTCCCCATAACAATATGCCATAGGTCAGCCATGAAAGTGCGTATGCATAATAAGCATTTTTCGCCGATTCAAAGTCAGCTAGCTTTTTAAGTTCCCGTAATGCATACGAAAACGATTTAATAGCAATTTTATCTTTTATTCCTTCCTATTTATATTTGGATCGATGCTTATTCCTAAGAGGGGTTAATTATCAACTAGTTCTATTTTTTCATAATTGAATTGAAAGTTTATGTCTATGAGGTTTCTTTGATGAGGTCGGAAAGTTATGCTCATTTAACCAGATGTTTACTTTTGACAATGTGCTGTGTATTATGTTACTTATATTATGATTTGGATTATTATCGATGGGTATTACTATGGATATGTCATCTGCAAATAAAGCGCAATGTACATCGATAACATGAGGAAGATTGTTGATGTAAATTAAGAATAAAATACATCCGAGGACACTGCCTGGTGGTATTGACATTGTCACTTCCTCTTTTTGAGAGCGGACAGTCGATGTATAGCCTAATTTAGTATTGTGATTTTCTATTTCTACGTATTGGCTTCGATTGTTTAGGTATGAGGCAAACCACTTTTTAGCTATACCTCTCACGCCTATTCCTTGCAATTTGGATAACTTTGGGTGTTTGTAATAGGTGTGATTTTGCAAGTAAAACGTTACCTACATTTATTGAGCCCACTGCTGCTTAGACTTAAAATGGAACTTCGAATGGAACGTCCACTACGTAATGCACATATTTTGTGAAAATATAATACTTACCAATGGGTGGGCATCCTAACGCACAGCGCTTAGGCATAGTGATTCAATTGTGTCGTTAAACACACTTAATCACAAAACAACAAAATAAGCGTCCACAATCGCAAAGCGTCCAATATCGCGAAGTTACGGAGGAACTACAAGCTCAACTCAACGTAAAAAGGTAAACACTGCAAAAACTAAGAGCACAAATTAATAGCGACTCGTACGCACAACCACAACACAGTCAGCCATATTGTGAATGTTCATTTTGACTTTGACATTCTTTTTGATAGCTATCGGTCTTGTCGGTAAAGTAGTAGGTCCGACATGTTTTGAGATACTAGCGACATCTTCTTTTTGTTACGTTGATCCTGTCACTAGAGGCAGCACTTTATACGAAAATTTTGAACAAACGTCATTACTATGAAAGCGTGCAGCCCCTGGTTTTTCAGTTTTGCTTTTGCTAATTGAAATAAAATCGTTTTTAATTCTTTTTTCTAGTAGATCTTGATCATTAATGCAGTATTAGGACCTTGAGCAGTACTTAAAATGGATGAACTGAGGGCATTTTTTAATAATCCGTGCCCGTCCAGTGCACAAGTTACTAAACTTCGAAGCCCCATGACCGGTGGTCTTAGGTTGACCAAAGAAGATACTATAAATTTGCTGAATCGACGCGAGGAGCACCGTCACTCCATTGTCCCCAGTGGGACAGACTACGCCCGCGAGATCAAGGAGCGGGAAACTAATCTATATCTCAGGGTAGGTTCTTCCATCAAAAACATCAGATCATGAAATTTTGTTGAATTGACGTTATTAGATTGCTAAATTAGATTCTAATAGTCTAACATGAACTTACTTAAATTCTTTGGAAAGACCTTGTCCTTGATCAGGCTTTTTGTAGAAGATGATAAATATTTTTTGTATAATTTTAAAAAACCTGTAAAGACGAATCTCTCTTTCCACTGTAAAAGCTTTTTAACCTGTCCTGTGTTGGTGGTCATGCGCCGTTCGCACCGATAATGTTGGACTCCTTAAAGGGGCCTCCCGCTGGGTGGGAACGATTGCATTGTTTCGCTGATATCTCTGTTATTTTGTATGAATACCCTATACAAACTATATATATTTGGATTCTCCATAAAATTTACTATAAAACAGTGTGTACACAATGCGTCATGTCTATAATTTATTTTAATTATGTTACGGTAAACTCAGGTAAGATAAAAAAAAGGCGTTCAGATGGGTAAAATGGAGTATGTCTTCAAAATTTTAAAATTTCATGTCCAGGTTTTTTGGTTATTTGCACATTCTATTATAAGTTACCAAATAAAATCATAAAATACCATACTCCCACAATTTAATTTTACACTATAGCTCTTACAATTCACCGCTCAGTAGTGTAAACAAACAGGCTTCTAATAGCCATGATTTATGGGTTTACCGTTAGTTAAGATTGTAAACATCACTTTAGAAACAAGTGTTGAGAAGTCCTTTTTTATTTTATAGTTTTAAGAACTTGCAACAAGGCATTTTAAAATCGCCTACAAATCAGTCATCTCAGTTTTATGTCGATAAAACGAAAAGTACTTACAATTATGATAAACAGTTTCTTTTATCAAAATGTACATTAAATTTGCTTTAGAATAAAGAAAAAGGAATCACTAGTTCGCATACAAGAAAATAATATGAAAAAATATTTCATTCGAATATTTGAATTTAGAACGACCGTTACACTGCGCGGATTTTGTTTTCTTTTATTTCTTCAAAAATACGAACTCAAGAGATTCTCTGTATTCGAAATATTAATCATGAATAATTTATTCAATAATTATAAATTAAAACATTACAATTTTATCGAAATTTTCGCCATGAAAACATAAGCCACAAACCCTTTTTTTTTATTGTTTTTTTATTTGCGGTCCAGAACTAAAAAATTATTTAAAAAAAATAAACACGTAAATCCGCCAACGAAACATCAAAATAGAGTAACTTAATGTATTTAACTTGCCCAGGGATGCTGTTTTTTTTCTAAAAACCACTGAAAAACATTTTAAATCTGAATACACAGCATATTTTTTTTCATACAAAAAACGGCGAACGACGAACTTCCACAGACAACAGTATAAATATTTCATATGGCATTTGACTTAATGGCTAGATAGCTAGCCTGTTCCTCTACAAATTGATATAAGAATGTAGGGGATAGCAAAAGGATTGAATTTTATATGTTCCATAGTATAAGTGGGGTCGCGAGCAACCGAAAGTCGGTCGCTCAACACAATAGAGGTTAATAATTTAATAAGCTTTTATGACTATAATTAAGTGCTGAGGACCCTCTCCTTTAGTAATTGTATTTTCAGTTGCTACTCATATCGTACACTATGGTCTAACACAGCTCCGTAGAAGCTAAATGAATCCTTAGATCCTAATTTTTGAAATCCCAAGAATAACTGCAGTCCATAAAAAAGAACATTTTCAGTCAATAAATTAATTGGAAATAAAGCACCATCTATATTCCATATCAATACCATTTGCAGAATGAAACTGAAAGAGAAAAATGGGAGAGCATCTCTGGAGGTTTGGAATCTCTAGAGCAGCTGTCATCTTGGGGCGTGTCAGTACAAAACCTGGGTGACCTAACAGAAGAGGCAATGACAGAGGTGTATAACAAATATTCATTTCAGATGAAGGAAGATACAAATAATTTGGCTATCAATGAATATAAGCAACAGGTTTGTTTTACCATTATTACTAATTTAATTACAATTTTAATGCTTGTTTGGTTTGTTGTTTATGAAATAGTTTCAATGAAAATGATAATTTAAAATAAGTAAATTTCATGTTTTTAGATTTTAGATCGCATATCTGGTTTCCCTGTAGTCATCATTGAGGGTCCAACAGGATGTGGTAAGACTACCCAAGTTCCACAATGGATATTGGATAATTGCTATCAGAATCGTAAACCGTGCAAGATAGTAGTAACTCAGCCCAGACGTATTGCAGCAATATCTATTGCCAAGAGAGTTGCACAGGAACGGGGATGGGATGTGGGAGGGCTTGTAGGTTACCAGGTAAGATTTTCCAAATATTTTTTTTCTATATCACTTAAAGGACATGGTAAAATTTTGTATGAGTGACTGCCCTAGCAATGTATGAATATTGTACTTAGAAATAAATAATGCAGAATGGCTGAATATTTATAATTTCTATGAAAAAGGGCTCAGGAACTTTTGATAAAGCCACAATCTTGAAAATTATGAGATCTCCTGCGACGTCATTACCTTGCTCCATTTGATAAAAGATGTTGCCAATTATTTACAGAGTCATCAATTTCGCATTTTCTTAGAATATTTCTTGACATTTATCTGATTAACACTTCTCATAAAGCATTTTTAAAAGTAAAAATAAATACAAACAATTTGTTGTTGTCGGCCTGACATGAAATCTGTGAAGTTTTATTTTGTTCATTTGCAAAAATCAAAGAATTAATTATCATACAGCCTTCTCTGAAGCCTGGTCAGAACAATAAAATCTATTATTTTAGGCCTTCAGTGATTTGTTATAATAAAAATAAGGGCCAAATATGTCATAGTTTTTGGGAGTTTTGAATTAATATATTTTTCATTTATTTTAGTAAAACGGAACATTTTCCTTTTGAAACAGACGTGAAGTAAATTTTTGTACTTTTTTTTTTTAAATATTTGATTATGTTACGAAAGTTGTATGAGAATTATATACACGTAATAATTAATAAAAAAATATTATAAAATTATGGGCTAGTGCAAAATAATTATACACGTTAAGGGCAGTTTCTTAGTCATGTCCTTTACTACACTATTGTCTTGAATATTGATAATGGGTGTATAACTGTATATTCAATACTTGTAATCTCAATTGATGTAAAGCACAAAACAGGACTTTACAGGAGAGCCAAATTAAGTTTTTTATTAATTACTTAAATTCATTACGCTTGGGTTTTTAAAGTTATATAGACAAAATATACCTAAAACCTTGAGATGCAGACAATGAAATATTTAGCTTTTAGTCAAGTTTGTTATTTTAGAAAAAGGATGTGCTTAACATAAAAAAAATCAATAAAATGTTCTTTATGTTAATTTTTATAATTATGTTCAGATGCCTTTTTCTGTGAAAAGCAAAATTGAAAAAAAAATATCTCTAAGTCCCAAAAATAAATGTTTAAGAGTGTTTATATGGTTATTTCATCAGTTATGCAGGTGTAAAGCTAATAGAATAAATAAGATATATATTTTATATTATGATTTAAAGAACTACCTTTATTTGTTGATTAGATGGTGAAGCATACATAGCCTACAAGTCATTTTAAATAACATGTGTTGTCAAGGGCTTAAAATGGATAACAAATAAAGGAATAGTAAATTTTTTTTTTAATTTATAATACCCTAAACATACTTAAATAGGAATTCATCAGCATAGCACTAAGTTAATTTAAGTCATATCGCCCTGAGAAAATCCGACAAATTAGGGCAAAGTAAATGTTAAAAAACAAAGGGGCCATTTACCAGATTCAGTCTTATCAACTGCCCTGCTCTATAAAGTCGAATGGAGAGACTTTGTCACTGTCTTGGTGAAGGCATTTCAGGGAAGGCATTACCTTCAGGAATGAAGCCTTTAATGAAGAAGAAGTCAATATTTAACAAAGTATTGAGGTTTCTTATGTTCAAATACCTAAATTGGTCAATTTATTCAGTAGGGAACTGAGGACCAGTCAATATGTTCTAGGCGACCAACAGAATTCATTTATATGTTTTTTTTGGCATAAGAGTCTTCAAACAAACAAAAGTTTACGTCAATTGAAATTACAGGTATTGATATGGTTCTTTTGTTGCACATGAGCTCTGTATAATATGACCACTTTAATAGGCAGCGATTGTGGAAAAAATAATAAACCTCTTTTATTGTGAAATCAATATAATGTATCATATACCTACGATGATTTGATAAATCGATGTTTTGCGAAAATGCTAGGAATTTTATAAAAACACTGATAATTAGACAATGGCAATGACTGTTCAATCTTACTGTTAACACAATTTATTTCTCGCGTTTCGCCGGCCGCTGCCCCGGTAAGCACGCTACCCTCGCTCGATTCGCGCGTCATGGTCATAATACTAACATAACCTAGTGTGAACCAAAATCCCAAGAACGTTTATAATAAGCCAACAATTCTTAGCCTCGCGTTTTCGCAAAATCCTATCTTTTTTCAGTAAGATTGAGAAATGTTATTGTGATTGTCTAAATATCCACGCTTTAGCAAAATCCCTAGGATTTTCGCGAAAATTCGATTTATACCTAAACCTCTCAATAAACTTTTGCCTACAGGTTGGACTGGATAACAAAACTTCAACTGACACGAGAATACATTATGTGACTACTGGAGTGCTATTACAAAAATTAGGTGGGTAGACAGTATTATTATTGATCACTTGATGTGTAGGTAGGCTATATACTATAAGTTCAAACTTTCTCTTACTTAACTGACTGACTTATGCTGACTCGTGACTTATTGAAATAGAAGTCGCCAAAGTTGGTAACGTGCGGGAGGTAAGCCACGTTTTTATTGGACACATCTTCAGTGTGACGACACAGTCAGATGACATATTTAATGAAACAATGTATCACCGTTGGATCAGATCTTGGGGTGTTTCACATGCATATGTTGTAATAGTAGCTAGGCTTGGCACAAGCAGGTGCCCTTGTATGTGGTCTCTAGTGGGGGTGACCTGTACCTGAGGGTTAGTGTAAGCTATTGTTAATGTTACATTAAAAATATGTTTGACTTTGGATTGAGATGGTAATATTCTGTTTATTAAAATTGTTATGTATTTTTACAGTTGCTTCCAAAACTATGAATGAATACACTCATGTAATCCTTGATGAAGTTCACGAAAGAGGTCAAGAAATGGATTTTCTTCTTCTTGTTGTCAAAAGGCTACTCTACACAGTATCACCTGGGGTCAAAGTCATCCTTATGTCAGCTACTTTCAATAGAAAAGTGTTTGCTGATTATTTCCAAATACCCACACCTAAAGGCCTACAAATATCGTCAAGCATTAAAGTATTGAAAAACGAACAAATGTTCACTGTGAAAACATTTTACTTAAACCATTTGAACAAGTTTGGATCGGTAATTATATTTTTGTTAAAGATATTATATTAGCTTTTTCCATATTTGTTATATTTTTGTATGTTCTATTTGTACTTTTGCTTGTAGATTTTACAACAGTCTCAACCAAATAGGCAGCAACCTGGCATTGCTACAGAGATGTATCACCTTGTAATAAAATTGGTGAATGCTTTTGAACACATTGATAAACAAGAGGACAGCTACGTGGACAGATCAGAGGCTGAACTACCATCAGTTCTCATATTTCTACCTGGTATCAATGAGATTGAGGAGCTTTATAACTGTTTATTGGACATTGAACTGAGGTATACAATATAGTAACTTGGTTTGTGACATATAATGTCAATTATAAAAAAAAAACTACTAGTCATACATTATCTGAGGAAATCTTTCCAATCTTTCTCTTTAATTATTCAATGTTTAATTAATGTTACCTATTATTTATCATTTAGGAAGAAATTAGCAGATGCTGAATGTTCTAAATACAACTGGCAAGTATTGCCTTTGCACTCGACTATCACAGCTGACGAGCAAGTGCGAGTGTTCCACAGAGCTCCACCTGGTTCTCGCAAGATAATACTAGCCACCAACATAGCTGAAAGCTCCATTACTGTGCCCGATATCAAGTATGGTGAGTGATCAGGTTTATATTATGTGATTATGTGTGTGCAAATAAATTATACTTAATCTAAGACAGTGGTCATTACCACTCTCTAAGATTAAGTATAATTTTAAGAGGTTTAAGTTAGTTAGTTAAGTTTTGCCTTGTGTAAGAAATAAACAAAGAAGACTGCCAACATTTGTCTTGTGTCTTTACTAGACTTAGGCTGAGGCTGCACTGGTAAAGCGATGCGGCGGTACAGTACAAGCAGAAACGTCTGCAATTAGGGTTGCCATATTCTGCCGACATTAAATTTGAAATACAACAAATATTGAAATAAACTTGTGATTAATGGTGTTGGTTTTTGGAATTATAAAAACTTGGTGTTATTATATTTTATATAAGATTTATTGTAAAATTGTTTGCTGACCTTAATAAACTAATAAAGAAAAGGTACAAAATTGGGCAAAAATCTAAAGCGTCCTTTTCTTTAGATTTAAATCATTTCAAATTCTATTTTTCTGAATTTGAATTGTAGTGTAGTGATCCCACATTTGCACATTTTTGTGTATATTCTATTCTACAATTTTCTCCATTTCCGTTAGTTGTCGACTTCTGCCTGATGAAGATCCTAGTGGCGGACGACCACACGAACTTCACGTCGCTGCAGTTGGAATGGGCTTCCAAAACCAACTGCGAGCAGAGAGCCGGGCGAGCAGGGCGAGTGCGGGACGGTCGCGTTTACAGACTTGTCACAGACAAGTTTTATGTGAGTAGCTCTTTTATTTATTTGTGTCTAATCATTTGCGTTGAGAACATCTTTATTTTAGGGTTCCATACCCAAAGGGTAAAAACGGGGGACCCTATTACTAAGGCTCCACTCTCTCCAGTCGGTCTTTCACCAGGCTGTATGTCATGAACCTTCATAGCAAGACAATTGAAATTTTTACAGAGGATGTATTTCTGTTGCCGCTATCTATAACAACAAATACTAAAAACAGCATAAAATAATTATTTAACAGGGCTCCTCTACCACATACGCAATTTTTGCAATTATTTCTGTATATTATATATTCACAGAATATTTAGTTGTATATTCACTAAAAATAAATAATGAAATTAAAATTAAATACATATTTAAGGCTGCTCCCATTCATCAGACTTGATTGTTAAAAGTTTTTGTTCGATATTATAAATTGTCTCTAATGTTGTATAGATAATAGTACGGAACCTTTCGCGCGATTCCTACTCACACTTGACCGGTTTTTTATGCTCCTATGTCCTCTATCTCTGATCATAAATTTTGCTGGTCTTTTCATGGTTAATAATAGACAAACAAGATATTTTAGATACAATCAACGGGCCTGTTAATACTGACTACACATTTTCCAAGCTATCGAAAGTTCAATATATTTCGGTAATACTACTAGTAATCACTACAGAATACTTGTTGGCGCAAATGGTTAATGCGCTTGGTCTGCGATTGTGGAAGTAAAGCAATTTACGCAATATACCGGCCATTGGAAGGTTGTCCAAGTAACACTAAAAATATTCTATAATTTGGGCATTATGACGTAATTTGATAGTTGGTTTAACGACAACGCTACTGCCTTCTGCTCCGGAAAAGAAACCTGGTGGAGCAGTTATTTGTGTGACAAGTACGAATATTTGTTCCCAAGTAGTTTAATGGTGAGGAGCTCAATAGTGGTGGTGGCTACCATGTTTTGTCTGTGATCGTGGAAATTTACCAACTTTCTCAATGGCCGGTTATTGGATGGGTCACAAAAAACTTATTATCTCGAGCTCTGGGTGCATGTGATGGGTTTCATTGTGCCTATAAGGAAGGTATGTGCCTTAGCAATGTCATATTTATGCATCCACTCAACATATTTTACTTGTTACCAGGAATCATTGCCGCAAGAGAGCTCTCCGGAAATAGTCCGTTGTCCTCTGGAGCGGTTAGTTTTACTTGCTAAAATGTTGGATATGGGACCTCCCAGTGACGTCCTAGCATTAGCCATGGATCCACCGGACATGGCCAATATACACCGTACTATACTAGTGCTTAAAGAGGTAAGTAATATATATATATATTTACATATACATATTATATATATTTACATTAATGTGTCTGGCACTCATATTTGTAGTCTGTTACCTATTTTTTCTATTTGTAATGATGAGTAGTCATGCTCGTGAACATGTGTTAATAATGAAATGAAGATGAGTATGCTCTTTACTAATTTCTCATGTAATAACTGATTCCCTGTTTTAATTTAAATATCATATCATCTACCTGTATTTTATTTAAGAATACACTTGGGGGTGTCCGCGACTACGTCTATACGTAAAAATTAAACTTATTTTAGTTAAAGGATTAACCTCGCGATCTTGGTGCTCCATACAAACTTTGAACCCTCGTTTTACCCTTTAGAGGGACAGTTCTGGAATATCTTTTCTAAGCGCAGACCTACATAATAATAGCTATATGTGTGCCAAATTTCAGCGAAATTTTTTACTTGATATCTCTATGTATATACTGACGGGTAGAAGAGAACAGCACCCCAGTAATTTTCTTGCCAGTTCTTCTCAATACAAGGTTTTCCACACCAAATTTGCGATTACGTACCCTTTTGACTTGCATCGGAAACGAGTGGGCGTATAATTGGAAATAATTATGAATGTCAAGAAAGCTAAAGATGTATGTATAAACCATGGAGGTTAGAGAGAAGGAGAACGATCGCTGTAGAAAATAGTGTCCCAGAAATATGGACAAAATAAGTGAGGCGCTGCGATCGCTAAGTTGTCTCAATAAAAGCGGGCTATTGTGCGCTAATTTGACATGATCAATGCCGCGAATAAAATTTGTGCCGACGGCAGCCCGGCTGGTGGCTGAAAAATGAACTATAAATTCTACAAATTTTCAGGGACAGGCGGGCTAATGCTTTAGCACGTAGCGATCGTTCTCCTTCTCTCTAACCTCCATGGTATGGACCGTGAATAATGGCGGTCTGAAGCCCAAGCACGAATTTTGACAGATCCGTAATCGTATCGTCTTCGGCAAATTTTGTATGGAAAAGGCAAGTTTGTTCTTCTTACGTCCAATAGGTGCTGCTTAGTTTTAATAGAAACTTTGACGATGCGATACGAGCTATTAAAATTTGCGCTTTGTTGAGCCTCTGTTCACTCTGCCTATATGTTTGAAGATATAATAATAGGTTTTCTATCTTCTTATCTCTCTTCTTGCCTTAATTCCAAACATCTGCCGGAAATGGCGTGATGACGGCACTTCATATAGCTATTCGTATTTGCCATTCATTAACTTGACAACAGTCCCTCCTTTCAAATTTTGTATCAAGTTGTCCTTATTATACTCTATAGGGCGTGCCCTATAGAGTATAATAAGGACAACTTGCTTTTATAATGACAAATAGCAAATAAGAATGGCCAAGGTGTATCAAGAAAAACTGTTAAAGGTTGAACAAGAAACGAGCTAGCCTTACAGTAGTCGCGTATGATGTGTAAACATTTGAAACCTCACCTTATATTAGTAAAAAAAGAAATAAAACCTACTACAAAAGGAATAAGCCATTTGAACAAATAGCGCGCGCTTCCCAAACTTCCTGTTACACACTTCCGTCCCACTTCACGTAATCACTTCCACAAATTGCACGAAAGCGAGAGGAAAGATGTTACACATCAAAAACTAGTACTCACCGTTGAATGGTTATTTCCATTCAGATGGGTGCAATGAAGAAACATTTGGACGGGGAATGGTGTCCATCTGATGGTGATCTGACGTATCTCGGACGGGTCATGGCCAAACTGCCAATAGACGTGCGCGTCTCCAAAATGATTGTGCTCGGATATATATTCGGCTGTCTCGACGAATGCGTTATCATGGGTATGGATGTTTTTACTAACCACTTGTTTAGTGAGTGTTTGAGTGTGAGGAGCTCGATGGCGCAGGTGGTTAGCGCGTTCGGCAGCGGTCGTTGAAGTTCGGTCATTGGATGGGTGACCAAAAATTTACCATCTCGAGCTCCTCCGTGCTTCGAAAGGCACGTTAAACCGTTGGTCGTTAGCACCCACCAATCCGCACTGGGCCCGCGTGGTGGGTCATGGCCCAATCTCCCTATTTTATCCATTGGGAAGGCCTGTGCCCCAGCAGTGGGGACATTAATAGGCTGATGATGATGATGATGATGATAGTGAGTGTTTCAAAGGTTCTAAGCGTTTTCATTATCATCAGCCTCTTAATCTCCGTAGGTATGTTAAATAATAAGTAAAGATCATTCATGTCAATAAATGAAAACTTTCTGATTTCAGTATAAAACAACATCATAATTTTAGAAGAAACCCAGTCCCAAACACGTTGTAGAGTTCATTTTTATACGTGTTTACTGGCAAATTGCAACTTTAATGATCTTACAGACACAAAAGTGATTTAAATTCTGCAGATATGTTATTGTAAAATTGTGTTTTCCAGCGGCTGCAATGTCTGTCAAGAATCTATTCAACAGTCCATTCCGTGAAAGGCTCAATGCTTACAATTCAAAACTCACTTGGGCTGATGGATCAACAAGCGATTGTATCGCGTTCTTGAATGTTTACAAGGTAATTTTAAGTTGTTGTCTTTCAAGAGCAACACAGCTAGTTAACACTATTTAGGGAATTAAAAATACATATGAAAATGTACACTAACTCACTATAGCAGAACATATAAAATCCTTAACTCTTTCTAAATCGCGCTCAATTTTGAGTTAAATATTTTTTACCAAAGGTTTATAAAGTTTATATGTATAATACGAAAGCCCGAGAACCTAAACTACTTGACTACAACTAAGTCTACGTCACTAGTCACACTAATATTATAAAGGCGAAAGTTTGTGAATGTATGTGTTTATTACTTCTTCACGATTAATCGGCTTAAATTAATTTAATAAAATTTAGTATGGAGTTACCTGACACCCTGGATTAACACATAGGCTACGTTTTACTGCCGGAAAATGTAGCTAGTATTTCTATAAAAGCAATTTTAATAAGACCTTTTACATGTAACACTCGAACTTGAACCCTACTCATTCGGAATACGTGTGAAACTTGCAGGTGTGGAACCATTTACGTCAGCAGCAGTACTTCAAGCAGCAGGGCAACAACGAATTTCAATGGGCCCGTAGGTTCTACGTGCAAGTCCGTGCCCTTCGAGACTTGGACGATCTGGTTCGAGAGTTGCGCATACGATTGTCTCGAGAAGGCATAGAATCGTTTAAGGGACGCTCGCCTTGGGACAGGCACGAGCTTTCCTTAGCGCTCAAGGTAAATCTATACATATAATAAAATGGTAGGAAAGCCACGCGTACGAAGTCGCGGGTGGCCGCTAGTATAAAATGAATGAAAACATTGAAAAGCCTTCACAGCAATACAACAAGAAACAAAAAGATATATAACATTAAGCAAGAAATAACAGAATAACAAAGAAATTAACCGACGTATCTGTGTGTGTGTGCAGTGCCAGGTCAAAGGTCGGTGTCTCAGCTATGCTACTAAAAAGTCAGTCATAAAAGTCGTTTAGTTTTTGCAAATAGGCTATAAAAAGCGCTTTTACAGGTCCAAGTTTACTTATTACTTAATCCCTGCCACCACTGCTTCGGGACAATAAATGGGCTGTGGTAGTTACTTTCGTAATACCACAGCAACACTGATTTTCTACCAGCGCCTAGTGATTTGCAAAACCCAATCATAAAATATATAAGTCATATTGTGTGTTGTGTGTGTGTGTTGTGTTTGTTAATTAAGCTTTTGTTATTTACATATTTTCTTTTCTTTGGTTATTATTTATCGGCTAAATAAATAAAGTCTTAATTTTAAGTGAGTAAAACACTACATAACACACTTTTATCACTAAAGAAAGGAATCGAAAATGCCGACGCCAGACATTTTGTCTCTCTCGCACGTTACTAAGGATATCATGTGTGAGAGGGACAGAATGTCTTACGTCATCATTTGCGATTTTAATAGTAAAGACACGACTTACGAAAAATCATTCTGGTGGCGTTTTTATGTACACACAAAACAGTATTTCAACTTCAGATTGGGAAGATAGTTCAAAATTAATTATAGAAATTAGGATTTTTGTCATTGCACATATACATCACTCACTGTTGTCCGTATTAATTTTGTCGACCGTTTAGCAGCACAGTAGAGAAAGATCGCGGGTTTGAATCGATCGAATCGAATTGTATAATAAGCACGACCCTACCTAACCTAAGAAGTATTTGTTCTGTTTAGTTAAAGTTGTTTCTATTAGATACGGGTGCTGCCAGCGGAGATGAGTCTGCTCTTGCTACATTGGGTACTATTAATCGTTGTATTTAACTTTAATGGTACATTTGTTTTTATGCCTAAACAATGGGACACGGCATTCCTAAACTTTTTTCATTTTTAAATTTGTTTTTTATATATTTTATTTTATAGTCATAATTGATTTATCATTTACATTTGTAATGGAAAGTGACTTCATGGGTTATCTCATATTGAACTCATTTTTCAAATTGACGACTCTGTATATAATACAGGGAGAAAAAAACAGCCCTTGCTGAGTTTCTTGCCGGTTCTTCTCAGTACAAGGTCTCCCGCCGTAGATTTGCGAACCGATGGCGTAGCTTTTCGACATTCACAAGTGCTTGTAACAGCCTAGACTGAATAAACGATATTGAATTTTGATTTTTTTTTGAATTTTTAGAGTTAATTAGTTGCCATAGTTCAAACTCTGCTTAGCTTGGTTGTGGGTTTTCAGAATGTGTTAATTAACCGATTGAAAAAAGGAGAAGGTTCTCATTTTGTCAGAATATTTGTCTTTTTATACACACACTTATTATTGATTATCATCATCTTCAGCTTATCAATGTTCCCACTGCTGGGGGCACAGGTTTTCCCTATGAATGGAATAGGGTGCAGTGATCCACCACGCGGGTCCAGTGGGGATTGGTGGGTGCTAACGAATGCAGTTGCAGCCGGGACCAACGGGTTAACGTGCCTTCCGAAGCACGGGAGAACTCGAGAAAGTGGCTTAACTTCAACGATCTCAGTCTAACGCGCTAACCACTCGCGCGATAGAGTTTCTTTTATCTATCTATATGAATCAATTGTGGTTGTTTTGTCTCGCTAGAACTCAAGAACGGCTGAGCCGATTTAGCTGATTTTGGTTTTGAAATGTTTTGTAGTAGTCCAGGAAGGTTTAAACAGTGAGAAAATGTAGAGAAATTGCGAGGTAGAAAGTAAAAACATTCATTTTCCCATATACACTGTTCTACTTACTACTATCAAACCTTTGACCTTTCAGCCATTGTAGCGAAGGGAGAGTTTTAATGTCGTTAGGCTAGGTGATACGAAGTACACTCATAGAGGTATAAGAATAGAGTAGGGGAGATATAGACTCTACTACAAGTGGATGTATCCCTCTAATAGAAAGAGAAAGAAGATGAGAGACCGCTAGCTTTGTCTCTCTTATCGCGCATGCGCATTGGCAACCGTAAGCATCTTACTATTTCGATGTGATGCCATTGGATACTACGCGTCACAAGAGAGAGAGATAGCTAGTCATCTCTAATCTTCTTTCTATTTCTACTAGACGGACACTTTTAGAGCCGTCTTCCCCACTCTATTCTTATACCTCTATGAGTACATTGGGTCATCGAGTTTGAAATATTTTATTGATTATCATCAGGTGATAATAGCGGGCGCGTTCTATCCTCAATACTTCGTGCAAGCGACGCAAGACGAAGCTCGCGAGCGTGAAGCTGTACGCACGCTCGGTGGTCTTGATCCGAGGAATACGGTAAGTGTTTTAACATTTATTTACGTTTTAGGGTTCCATACCCCAAAAGGGAAAAAACGGAACCCTTATAGGATCACTTTGTTGTCCTTCCGCCCGTCTGTAAAGACCGTTTTTCTCAGGAACGCGTGGAGGTATCAAACTGTAATTCATATCTAATACTCATATCTACTGTCCCTTGGAGCTGTGAAAAAATCAAACTTCTGAGCCAAAGCAATCAAAAGATACAGCTGTTTATGCCGCAAATTTCCGCAAATATTCGGAACTCGCACGGGAATCAAAACCTACGGCTACTTCCCGTGAACTTAGAATCTTAAAATTTGGCACGAAGTAACGTCTTATAGTACAGATAAAGGAAAAAATGTGAAAACCGTAAATTTTTAGTTACATCATATAATAAAAAATATTATTTAATAATTACTGAAATATACCTACAGGTATGTACGGAACCCTCGGTGCGCGAGTCCGACTTGCACTTGTCTGGTTTTTTCAATTCCTAGATGAGACTATATCTCTTCCTGATATCATAATCATACAGACAGTGTAATATATAATGTGTAATAAATAATGTAGTGTAATAATATTCCTTACGAATAAGGTAAAAAAATTGCTAGAGAAATTTTAACTTATCTCAGGTACCAGCCTGCCTCCCCCTCCCCCCTAGCATGAGCACCGCGATATGATATATAACGCGTTTTTATCAAGCTGAATTGTCAAATTACTATGGAGTTTGTCAGTTAGACACGTTAAAACGCGATATAATGTAAATTGTGGTGCTCATGCTACGGGAACCTGATAAAGCAGCAGCACGCAGTAACCTTGAATAAACGTAATATAATGATATTAGCTTCTTCTTAGCACATCAAATTTGGTAGTACAAAGAAAATAAGAGACGGGACTGTGGTCGAATAACAAATATGAACATCCATGAACAGCATAAAAATTACATTAGGACACTAGCTAAGGTTGATTTTGTCCATAGATATGAATATCGGACTGAGTGTTCCCTCCGATCATCGCTTTCTCATTTTTTAGAGAATTCGCAATTTAATGCGAGGGTTCGCTCTATTCATATATCCTTGATTGTATCTATATCCAGGTGTATCTCCGCAATTTTCCGGACCAACAGCCGGGCGAAGTGTACGCGGCTGCCATTAGGAACATTGTTCGTCAACACGTTGGCGACGAACCACGCGTCACTTTCGACAAAAACAGCCGGTGCGTGATGAATTTCTGTTGTTATTGGTGCATTTTTTTTGTATAATAACATAATTATGTTTGAGGATCTGGCGAACAAAATGGTATAATTACGCATCTGGTCAAACTACTATTTTTTTTTACAGTGCGGAGGATTTGTATTTAAATCTAAAATAATTTTCAATAAAAACCGCCTAAAACAGTGTTAAAATTTATAAATTAAGGGCGATGCCAAAAGCGCACTGGAGGTATGTCATTCTGTTTTATACAGCTCCTGTAAAATTAAATTTTATGGAATTATGCCGTTTTGTTTGCCAGCTCTTGATTTCGTTCCCAATATAACAAAATTATTCATATCAAAACATATTCTGCCTTATTACAAAACGATAAGTTAAACTTGGTCTAAAACTGATGCTCTTACTTTATTTTAAGATATAAGCTAAAAAAAAGACAGACAGCATTAGGTTTAAACCAAGACTAACTTTAAGTCCGCGGTTTGGAATGAAGTGGAATATATGCAATGTTGTTTGTGTTTATTATTGGATTGAAATGTTGCTTGAATAGCTATTTACTCTTGTTTGATCAAGAGAGAAACACGATAATTACGACTGATAAGGGGTTTTATCATCCATAAATTAAGCCAAAATAATGTTCATGGTCAACGAAGTCATGAACTGATCACCTTTTTATTTTTCGTTTTCTCTTTAGTACTGTACCCTTAGCACAAACCAATTTCGAATTCGTAATGTTTGCGAGTCTGAAATGTCATTGTCAAATGTGTACTGATTTTTATTTCTCGTTGCGTACTTTGTGGCGCTGTTGTTCAAGTTTCCATACAAAATTTGACATTGATATTTAGCACTCGCAAACTATTCGAATTCAATAATGGTTCGTGCTAGGAGAACAGACAAAATAATATGTTTAGGTTTATTAAATTAGTTGTTCCTTTATTACAGAAAAGTCTATTTGACGTTTAGAGAAAGCCAACTCTTCAGACGCGACAAAAACAACAGTGGTGTAAGTTGATCGATTCATATTCATATAACAGATATAGCAACAAAGTTGCATGAGACAGAAATGTATATATTATCACTCTCTTAGCTACACTTAAAAACATTATATTATAGATATTACAGTTCATTTTTTATTAGTGAAATCTAATTTGCGATCCAGAACTAATAATAATACTGCAAGCGGCTAGCAGCCAACCCTTTTTTGCAATAACTCTGGCAACTAATGTGTCTGTTCATGGACTTTTACTATACGTGAGGGAAGTATACTCTTTCAACAGTCATACTAGATTAAAGAACACGATTAAATAGAATATCATCGCTTTGTAGTACAACCCTTATAGTTAATTCCTTTATCTGTAGGATCCCACTATCCCCGGTCAAGTGGTGCTCCCAGTGTACAAAGCTGTTAAGGCCCGACAGCTCAAAATGGACATCAGAATCCCATTATTGCCGTATGTACTAATTTATATATCATTATTATTTACACGAGCGGAGCGGATATCTGTGTAATGACTATTCTTAATAACTTATCCACAGTAACAAGTAATCTCACCAAAGCTAGTTTGCTAGGATTTGGTTTTTTCATCCTCATCAAATATTAATTAGTATTATTTAGATAAATTATGCTACTACTAGCAACGAATTAGAAATAATATCCATATTATTCTTAAATTCGTTTCTAGTTCTTTTTCCAATATGAACTGCGCTAACAAGTGGTTCCGCGCAAACTGCGATCAAGTGGGTGGGGCGAAAAACTGCGATCAACACACCGATTATGGGATTGGTTGGGTTATCCATTTGACATTATTTGACCCAATAATGGATAGACGTATTCATTTGCAGATATTTGTTATGTCTGTGTACGTGTCGAGTAAGTATTGAAGTTTAGTTTAGTTTGGAACCATTTTTTTTATTATTTATTTATTTAGCAAAAAATTTACATGCAAAATTACATTATATCTGCCAAACTGCAACGCGGTTTGTCGGCAGAGTTCTCGTAGAAATATTATCATATTTAAAATCATCATACTATAATATAATGCATGTTAACTTTCTATGACAGAAAAACAAAAATAATAAGAGATTTTGGCGGCCTTTAGTGTTTTTGACAATATTCTATAGCCTATTTCATCAGGGATAATGGAGGATTTTAAACGTGACTTATTAATCTAATTTATTTTATTTCTTATTAGGGTGGAGAAAGCTAATGCTTTGGCGGCTTTGCTTGCCACGAGCAAATCAGAATTGGACATCGCAAGTATGGTGCCGCGGCTTCCTGATGTAGACGATACTCACTTCCCCCTCAGGATATCATATGTTAGTATTTTTCCCTCTTTTCTAACCCAGAGAAATAAAATATATGAATATGCTACCCTATAATTGATTTTTGTTGCATCTCTGATTAAAGTTGTGTTGTCCATTAGATCCATTTGTAATTTGCATTAAAAGTAATATGGCGAGGATTTTTAAATATTACATATTGATTTTTTATAATAATAAGTATAGTAAGAATTTAATAATTATGTAGTTGTGACATAACACATAATAATTTTGTCACTTTGATCACGCGATACGAAATCGGCTCGATTAACAACGCCATCTGAATACCCTCTGATTTATGAAAAGATGCGAAACACAACGATATTAAATACCCCAAATGCACCACGAGCACTCAAAATGTGTCCTAATCAAGAAGTGCTTGAACTTCACTCAAGTACTTCTTGGTTCACAGTCACGCGGCGCGGACCGTTGAAAAGTCAATATGCCGCAGAGCTCCGAATGCGAAAAATATACTTATAGTACGTAGTGTCGTTTTTTCGTCAGATATCTAATCAATGCTTGTTAATTTAACGCGTTTGAAGCAAATTTTGTTCTAATACTTACTATAAACTGATTTAATGTAAAATATTTGTTATATTCAAATGCATGGTTGGTTATACGTCGCCGTATAGCCGTCTCTTTTCCTCGCGGTCCGTACCTGCTATATTGCTAACAATGCATTCAGAATTGCGCGTACAGTCAAAATAAAATAAGGTCTTTATTCTTCCGCATGTAGCAATCTATACTTATAATAAATCTGTAGAGAGGTCAATTCTGTACATGAAATATATTTTCAAAATAACTATCAGGGGGTGATTAGTGATCGATACTGATGCCAAAAATGCAATCAGTAAAATTTTTGTCTGTCTGTCTGTCTGTGTGTATGTTCCTTATAGAAACAAAAACTACTCGACAGATTTTAACGAAACTTGGTACAATTATTCTTCATACTCCTGGGCAGGTTATAGTATACTTTTCATCACGCTACAATCAATAGGAGCAGAGTAGTGAAGGGAAATATTGGAAAAACGGGAGAAGTTACTCCATTTTTTAAGCTTCCGTCGCGTGTGCAGCTTTAATGGTTAAAGTTACATAGAAATCATGTATGACGGAAATATTCTACATAAAATTGTCTAAAAAATATTCCGCAACAGCATATGTCTATCTTTTATGGTTGGCTCACAATAACACGTGTAATTATATAAATAAAGTTATTGCTTATAATACAAGCCTGAGAACAAAAACTATAGTTTACACTACAGCTCTACACCGAAGCGAAGCGCGGGCGGGCAACTAGTAAGTCTTAAATTTTAAAAGCTTGCACTTCTGTCATAATTTTTGATACATGCGTTTTTATTAAGACCTTATACAGTATTAATTAAAGGTGACTTTCAATGTTTAAATAATGCCTTATATTGTTTTTTGACCACGCGATCATCTTACGAAGCTCCGTGGATCGTCCAATATGCCTTTCGAACACATTTCGGCCACGATTTTGTTCGTGTTGTTGTATCTAGAGTATTTAATATCGTTGGCGAAACTTCGCTCCCAATCTGTTCCTCCCCATGTTTTATTATCATGCATCACATATCGTTGTTGTCAAACCAACATCTGCTCTGTGCATTTTTTTGAGATTTCTCCCTTTTCATAATTATGAGTATACCAACATAATTAACCTAATTTCGAATACAAAGACTGCTATGTAAATTGATCACAACGGTGAACAGAGTTTGCTAAAAAATATGCCACGTATATCAGCCAGATTATTGGCAAATATTAACTGTTGTGTGTTATGCTGGCATTTCACTTGGCTATTCGTATTTCCTTTTTTTTTTTTTCAAAATACATTACATCATTATAACGGGTATATACCCAATTCAATAGTGTAGTCGTCCTTTCAAACTAACAATAAATTCTTATAAAATTACATTAATTATTAACAATATTATTTCACTGTTGTAAATTATATAAAAATGTCAATAAAAATAAATAAAAGAAAAAACAATGTCAATGTAAGCAAATGTCAATTAAAAATCTACAAAAATAAAATAACTTCAATTTAGGGTGCATTACCAATACGATTACAAATATTGTCAATAAAATTTGTCCTTAAAATCTAAAATTCATATTACATTTCTCAAAATAAATAAAAATATATTCAACTAAAAAGTCAATAATGTTATTTATAGCACAACACTTTTAAAGTTACTTTCGTAAACTCGCCAATCGAACATGTGAACAAATCGATAGACTCGGTAACTACATTGAGCGTGTGTATTGTTCGCGTCAGAGGTGCGGTGGCCAGCAAGCGGGTGCGGGCGCGCGGCTCCGCGAGAAGCTGCGGCCGCCGACGCCGCCACACGTATCTATCAGGCACGCATAAATTTAGCAATCCTAATATATTTGGGTTGCAGATAATGCCTCGCAACACCCTGACTATGTAATAAGCGAGTGCCAATTCCCTCCTTGTCTCCAACTTGTTGTAACCGACCATGCCCAATACGAACAAGGTTGGGTACATCAACGGATAGAACGGGTACACTCCGTATAACTTTAGGTATAAGTACCTCGTGTATTTATTTTGTATGCGCTCCATCATTTGCCTATACTTTGTTTCGTGTGGAGCCCATACTATCGCGTTGAATTCGAGCTGACTTCGTATATGCGCATTATACAGTGCCGCAATAGCTTTCATATTCGTAAAACCAACTGAATGACGCAAAACAAACTCAAACTTCTGTAAGCTTTTTTACAGATATTCGTAATATGATCTTTAAAATTCAATTTGTGATTTAATTGCACTCCCAAATTTCTGACTGTCTCGGTCCTATGTAATTTTGAATTTTCAATTTTGTAGTCGAAGTGGAGCGGAGTTTGTGCTCTACTAAAAGATATTATGGAGCATTTGTTAGTATTAAACTGCAGTTTATTTTTTCGACTCCACTCCACCACCCTGTCAATGTCTCCTTGTAACCGTTCACAATCCTCGCAGTCCTTTACAGCCCACAACAATTTCAGATCATCTGCGAAAAGTAGACATCGAGCATCCTTGACCACTTCTGGCAGGTCATTTATCATAACGATAAATTCTAATGGGCCTAGGTTGCTGCCCTGACTCACCCCAGTTCTGGTAAAATAGGACTCAGATTTATACCCAGCATACTCCACATACTGCATTCGATCCCTCATGTAACTTACAAAGAAATTAAGGAGTTGATTAGTGCAACCGACCCCAGCCAACTTCGCCAACAATACGTCGTAATCGACGAGATCGAACGCTTTTTTGTAGTCGAAGTAGGCGACGTCAACTTGCACTCCTGCGTCCACACGAGGTACAATGTAGGTCATCGCGTTCATTTAGTTGCTGGTAGTGCTGCGTTCAGGCCTGAACCCGTGCTGCTCGTTAGATAATTGAGCTGATACCTGCAACTGAATGCTCCGCTGCAATGCGCCTTCAAATACTTTTGCCGGCGTCGAAAGAATCGCGATAGGCCTAAACCCATTAACTTCCGATCCCCCATCACTTTTAGGTATAAGCACAACCCGTGTGTGGTTCCAGCATTTCGGAAAATAAGATGCCTCCAAGCATATATTAAATATATGCAAGAGTGGCTCCGCCAGAACAGCCCGGCAATCTCTGGCGACAAACGAAGGGATGCCGTCAGGTCCTGCGGAACGCTTTGGCTTTAACCGCACCATTGCCTCTCTTACCTCGCGCAGCGTGAGCTGTGGGACGTGAATACGAGCGGCACTCGCCCCGCTGACTGCCGTTGCCTCCGCCACGTCTAGCTTGGCGGGTTCATTACCGTATACGGAATGGAAATATTTTGCGAACTCCTTTGCACATTCAGAATCTGGTAAAAAAGTTCCATTTTTGGTAATCTTTTTGCGATTCACTGTACCCTTTTGTGATCTCACATAATCCCAGAAAGACTTTGGATCTTTTGCTAAGTTACACTGAACCCTATTTGTGTATGCATCGTGCGCCAGAGTTATCATTTCCTTTACCTTAGCCCTGCATTTAGAATAGGATGCGTAGTTTTCTGATGTCTTATTAGATTTGAACTCTTTATGGAGTTTTGCTTTCAATTTTATCGTTTTTATTATATCTACTGAGTACCACTCCGGATACCTATACCTACCGGTTTCTTTACGAGGCCTCTTGCTAGGTACGCATTTATTAAATACGTCATTTACAGAAGCATAAAAATAATCACCGCGTCATCTGGATTTCGCATAATGTACAATAGCTTCCAATCAATGTCAGCTAGCAACGGATACAATACACTATAATCAGCTTTAGTAAAGTTCCATTGTTGCGAATCTTCGCATGAAGTACATGACCCGATAATAGGAGCGGCGATAACAGCGCACCACGCCGCCGGTCAAACCGCACACTCACGGCGAGAGGCGGGTGATAAGAATCCACCGGCTACAAGAGCCTCATCCGCCCCGCGTACCTCACTACCATCCGCTATGCTCTCCGAACACGACACTAAATCCAGCTGCCTGTCCATACAATTTGGCACCCTATTCAACTGAGCGAGTTCACAGAAAGCTGTAAGATAATCAAAGTAATTAATAACATTTTCATTGGTAGAATACAAATTAAAATCACCTAAAATTATAATTGTCTTATACCTAACAGACCATTGTTCAATAATTCTGAATAAAATCATATAATCATTTTCTGTACTAAAATGATTATATGATTTTATTCAGAATCGGGAATGTAAACAACACAACATAAAAACAAGTATCTATTATTTAAAATCACTGCTGCACCGAGTATTTCGAACACACAGTTATTTATGTTGACGTCACTCGGTAGCTTCACTTTCCGCAGTTCCAACCGGTGTGTGGCCACGAGAAAAACGCCGCCTTGTTTTCTTCCGTCCGTTCGATCGCATCTTAGGCTTTTATAATCGGGCGGAATGATTTCCGCATTATGAATAGATTCGTTGTATCCCGGTTCTGTTATTGCAAATAGATCGGCGCACGAGGATTCTATATTATTACGAAATGTATTCAATTTAGTACGTAGGCCTCTTGCGTTTTGGTAAAACATATTTATGATGCTATACTTTGTCAATGGGTAAGTTTGTAGCTCTCCGAAACCAAACCCATTCCGCAAATTCCACATTAACAGGCCAAACTTCCGGTTGACAGAGCTTGTCATAATATTTTTCGGGCAAGGTGACAATAAATGATGAGTAATTTCTTTGCGTCTTATGCCTTATCTTTTCAATTTTTATTATGGTTTCCGAACCGCACATCATTTTCACATGAGATGACAACATTTCCACTGTAGTATCTGGTGTTAGCCGCCATACATGAAGATGTTTATTTCGCTCTTGACCTTTGATGTTTACCAACTCTGTATTTTTACCTCTTTTTACTTCCGTTGACTGGATCTTTTCACTCCTTAAACTCACATTATTTATCTTGCTTATTTCTTTTCCTGGCGTTAATACACATTCATATATCACAGACTCATGCTCTGTAGTATTTTTACCCTGTTTCCTCGTTTCTTGCTTGTTAGTTGTTTTAGTGGAATATTTAGCATTTCTCCTGTCGGTTGCTTTCCATTCACCCAAATCGGCCCCGGATTTCTTAGAAACGCGGGCTCAGCTTTCCATTATATGTAATTGAGTTGCAAGCTGAAATTTTTGTCACGCAAACTATTAAAAACACGTACACGAAATCTTTTTAGGCGGAAACGAATAGAACTCGAGAAAAAAAATATTGAAAATTAATGTTTTTGTAGGTTAAGAGTCAATTTTGACAGCAATTTTGATCAGTGCTGCCATTTTTTTATGCAAAAATAACATGTTTCTCGTTGTCTATGGTAAATATAAGTTTATTATGTTGGTACTATTGTCAAAATGTGACAATTTACCGCCATTAATGAGATCTGTCAGTCAGTGTTTGTGTTCGTCGCAATTGAGAGCTTTTTCGTACTCCTGTTGATATTAATATCGTCTGACTACCATGGCATCCTCAAAGCCTTCGGCCTCGAGTTCTGCTGTTCCTTCGCCTGAAGAGTCGAGTGTAGTGCGAGTTTTGGACTCTAATGAGCCGCTTGTGTCGTGATACTTCACACTAGGTTAGGTTAGGTTAGTGTTGTGACCTTAACGCGCGAGCCGAGCGAGCGAAGCGAGCGTGCCGCGGCAGCGGCCGGCGAAGCGCCAGAAAGAAAAATTCGTTAATAGAGACTTTTTCTACAAAAAAATCTAGGCCCTGGAAGTACAGTTAAAACCCCTCTAATTTTTTATAGTTATCATTTCTGTAAAAAAAGCGCCGGGAGGGGGGGGGGGGTTACCCTTCCCTCGGCGGGGTCTTCCCTTATACCTATCCCCCTGAAATTCCACTACATTTAACAGATTTAATGAATTTTTAGGTTAGGTAAAAAAAAAACTGCATTTCCGCCAAAAATCTTTTATGGCGGGGAGGTCGGGGGGAGCCCCCCCCCCCCCCCTCCCCTACAAATTACCCCGAAATTCGATTACATATAATGGAATTAAGTACCGAAACGCGTGTAGACTCCAGGTTTTGTACATCATTTACACTTTGATCATCGTTTTGAGATGCGTCACCGAAAAATTTTTTCGCTGTCTTCGTGGCCCCACACTGCATTTTTGCCGCCGTTTTGAAGGTACTTGCGCTCGCGATTATGTCAGTGTCAGTCGCTGTTGTTGTTGCTGTGAGCAGTTTGCTAGCATGATCAGGTGTTTTGGTGGTTTGTGTTGTATTCCAATTTATTAATGGATGATTCGAAACGGTTACATAAAGCCGTAAACTGGGTATGTATTGAATTAGATGGTATGCTATGCTGTTTTAAAAAAGATTCGAAGTCTGATTTGAATTCTTGCAAATCCTGTCTTGTCGAATAGCATAAATCTTTGATACATTTTATTGTTGTATCTTGAGTATCCATTCTATTTCTCAGTTCTAAACGCATTTCTCTTATTTCGGCCATGAACCTTTTTTCAAAATCTACAGATAAGCCATCTGATTGCTTACTCCGACATCCGCGTTGTATGGTAACATTGGATTCTAAATTCGGTGTGATCATCAGCTGGTCCAATGCACGAACAGGTGTGTTACAGTCGAAATGTTTTGGTTTAGTATTAACACATTCAGGACATACCCATAGTCGTTTGTACTCCTCCGTAAACAGGTCAAAATCCTTTTGTTTGAACCCAAGACATACTAGGTCATATACTTTTCCACATTTGACCTGTGAACACTGCATCTTTCGCGCACTGGTTACTTTATTATTGCAAGCACTGCAGTAAATAGGCATCGTTTCGCAGTTAATTACTATAATAAATTAGATTTTAGCAAAGAAAACAAAAAACACGTCCGTTACAATCAGTTTTTTTTTTATTTCAGAGATTTGATTTTGAAAACTTGACAACAATCTGTCTTTGTCATCACACTAATATTATAAAGGCGAAAGTATGTGAGTGTGTAAGTTTGTTACTTCTTCACGTCTTAGACTGCTGGAGCGATTTTAATAAAATTTGGTTTGAAGTTAGCTGAAAGCCTGGATTAACACATAGGCTACGTTTTACTACGGGAAAATATCCCTAATAAACCGTGGGAAACACCGCGGGGCACAGCTAATGCTTTATAAAGAATGAAAAGGACAGACTAATGTCAAGTTTACAAATAGCAAAATACGAATAGCCAAGTAAAGTACCATCATAATCAAAGTTGTATTTTTTGCACATAGCGTGTATTGGTTTGATAACGACCATATTGCGGTCCTTTTTCCCCGTCAGAGAATCAGCGTAAGCAGTTTCTGGGTGCAATACGACGACGAGTCCACCGCCAGCGATCTAATGGAGATACAGATGGCGTTAAGCAGAGTGGGTTTGATCGCTCACACGGGGCCCGTGCAGCCGGGCGATATGTATGCAGCGCCCCATACAGACGCGAGACAAACTAAACCTTATAGGGTGCGCGTACAACGGGTCCTGCCCAGAGATATGGTAGAGGTGAGTGCGATTGTGACAGGGTTGTTTATGTGATGTAATGTAGATGTAGATAGCCCCACACAGACGCGAAACAAATTAAACCTTACAGTTTCCGCGTACAACGGCTCCTGCCCAGAGATATGGTCGAGGTGAGTGCATAGAAGTATAAGAATAGAGTAGGGGAGATATACACTGTACTACAAGTGGAAGTGTCCCTATAATAGAAAGAGAAAGAAGACGGGAGACCGCTAGCATTCTCTCTAATCGCGCATGCGCAATGGCAACCGTAAGCATCTTACTATTTCGATGTGATACTTGGACCAACTATTGGACAGACGACTGCGCATGCGTCACAAGAGAGCGAGAGATAGCTAGCGGTCTCTTATCTTCTTTCTCTTTCTACTAGACGGACACTTTTAGCACGGTAATAATATCATACAGTATTCTATCTTCATACAAACGGTCGGAAAGCGAGTCATACCTACGCCACTCGAGTTCGATGTGCTCTCGGCGGGCACCCAGTCGCGAATGCGCCGCCGTGCCGCAACGACGACCGAACGGTCTGAATTGTTTTTTATGCAGTTAGCCGTGCTTAAACGTGCGTTTTGTATTGTAAATATTTGATTTAATTTAGTAGATACCTACATAATTTAGTATGGAAAAGAACAAACGACGATCAATATCGTACAACAGCACAATTGCTGTTTTTGGTTGCTTGAACTCTTCAATAACACACCCAGAGATATCATTTTTTAAATTACCTGAAATATTGGAAAGGTGTCTTACCTTTATAGAATATTTTTTATATACCTATCTACTAGTACGTTATTTGTTTCTAATATTTAGGTATTTCGGTTTTTCCATCGGGCAAAATATCTGGAATAATATATAAATAAGTGGTTAGGATGAAAAAAGAGATAAACAAGTAATCTTCCTACACTCGCGTTAAAAACAAAACTACATAAAATACTGTAGGCTGGCGGCCCTACCGCGTGCCAACGCAGCGCTCGGTGTAGGGGTCGGTATTTTCAAGGACAGGGCGGAGTCACAATACTGTATAGATAATATTACCGTGCTTTTAGAGCCGCCTTCCCCACTCTATTCTTATACCTCTATGGGTGAGTGTAATTATGACAGGGTTGTTTATGTGATGTAATGTAGATATATAGATGGCCCCACACAGACACGAGACAAACTAAATCTTACAGGGTCGCGTACAACGGCTCCTGCCCAGAGATATGGAAGAGGTGAGTCGGATTATGGTTGACTATGTGATGTAATGTAAATAGATTTTAGAATAATTGTAACAGTGGCAAAGAAAACATAAATAATAAAAAAGTACTTATATTTAATTTTCTTTACTGCTTGAAGGTTCGTCAATATGATCTTGATAATGCTGTTGATTAGGAGGTTTCAGTAGCTCTAGAATGCTTATATGAAATAATTTTGAAGACATGTGAGGTTGTTCTCTGAATAACTGACTACGGATCTGTTTTGTCGCATTTTGGAACTGCCTGCATCAATGAGCTATTATGACGAAAGTGCAATAAGTAGCAAGCCATATTATAGCATTTATGAAATTAAAGGATACACGTACGTATTCTCATAATTCCTTTGATGAGCGAAAGTGAGCGTTTTTACTTTTTGGCACAGTATCTTAAAAATAAACCAAAATTTTACTCCAAAGAATATACTTTTTGTCCTTTAATATAAGTAAAATTAAGGTTAAAAAAAACAACTATATTAGTTAATAAATACCTGAACTTAAGTTATCCATAATAGTAGTTTGATATTATTCGGAAATGACTTAAAAATACTTAGATATCGGAGCTTACTACTGCGTTTACGCACGGAATTTACAAGTGTAAAGAAACGATGCAAATTTTCAAACGACTTTACCAGCAAATTTTATAATTATGTGTCGCTTCGTATTTCTTTTGATACGATAATATCCGTCGGGGTTTCAACAAGTAAATAGGGTAAGTAATCTATACATTCGGCTTAATAAAAAAAACTATTTCTGTCCACCTGTTGTAAAGCAAAAAGACTTATGCGCGCCGATCACGGGATTGGTTGGAATTTGCGTTTAGCATTTTCTTGCCCAATGAACGAATAGCCGAAGAATTCATTTGCAGATTTGTAAAAGTAATTCGTTTTATCTGTGTGCGTGTTGCGTTAGTAATAATGTTTCATGGTATGAGTTTGCAAATGTTTTAGCGGCATTTGTTAGAGAGTAATGCTTCACTATCACTTCATAAATCAATATATTTTTATTCAAATTGGATGTACAGTACAACTGTTTTGAATTGTCCATATTTATTTTAGTAGTAGTTTAGTATTTTTAGCTGCGGAGAAAAACGAGCGAAAAAAACTCCGCAACATTAAAAGTATAATGTAACAACATTTACAAATCATTATGTTGTTACAACGTCAATACAACCATTATTTATTTAATGTAGAAAACCTGTTGGAATGAAGGAACAGTTCAAACCCAAGCATTTTTGTCTGTAATATAATCGGACACTTAATAAGCTTTTTTAATAAGTGCTTTTTTTATACTATCTTTGAATTTATTTATAGTTAACTCTTGGATATTGCTTGGGACTTTATTGTATAAGCGAACACAAAGACCTTTAAATGAATTATAGTCCAGTCAGTATTGTCGCGAAATCCGTTTTTCCTCAAACAGCTGGAACTATGCTAAAAAGTTTCTTAAGATAGTAAAGAACACTTTACATAGAGAAAAAAATGTTTCCAACCCCGGGCAAGGGTGAAAACCACCCTTAATAATCTATTTTTCCAATTATCTCAAAAAGTATACGAGATACGGAAAAAAACTTCAAATGAAAATTGTAGATCTTTTTGAAATCTACAAAACATTATTCCACCCTCTTGCCCCTATTTTCAATAGGGGAGCCAATAATCGAAGTCAAAGATTCAATACTTAAAAAGTTAAAGTTAGTTAAAAAAGTTATCTTTGACTTCGATTATTGGCTCCCCTATTGAAAATAGGGGCAAGAGGGTGGAATAATGTTTTGTAGATTTCAAAAAGATCTACAATTTTCATTTGAAGTTTTTTTCCGTATCTCGTATACTTTTTGAGATAATTGGAAAAATAGATTATTAAGGGTGGTTTTCACCCTTGCCCGGGGTTGGAAACATTTTTTTCTCAATGTAAAGTGTTCTTTACTATCTTAAGAAACTTTTTAGCATAGTTCCAGCTGTTTGAGGAAAAACGGATTTCGCGACAATACTGACTGGACTATTAATGATTTTGTGAAGCTTAGTAGCAGGTAAAGTTAATTACACTTCTAATTCGTTGGTTCGTGTTAAAAATCTTCCACGTCTACCGCAGGTGCTGTACGTAGACTACGGTTTCTACGGTCGCGTGAACGTGTGCAACCTGCACTCGATGCCGACGGGCATATGCCGCGTGTTGCCGCCGCTCGCGATGCAATGCCTGCTGGCGGAGGTGGCGCCGTCGCCGTTGCTCGACGCGCACGCGCAATGGACGCGCCACGCGGAGAACTACTTCACTGAGATCACGAAGCACGGACGGCTGCTTGGCAAGGCGAGTCACCGTAATCTTAGATTAAAACAAAAAGGGAAGATACGGCACTCGCGGCTCAAAAGTGATCCGCTTAAATTGTGGTGAGTGACCCTAATTCGCTTTAGTCACAATTGGACATTCAAACACGCTGCATGTGCACTCAATATAACAATATTGCGTATATTCTGTGTTATAAAGATAAAATAATGCCTTCGATGTTTTTATAAAAAACACAAATAGTTCACAATCAAATAATAAAACTGTAAAAACATTTTTCTCAAAAATCACGGTTTGTCGTGAATGTTACTATTGTAATCGCCATTTTGTTATCATGAAAAGGACAACAATACAGCTCAGCCGTGCGGATTCGCCGTTTCGCTCGCGCTGCGTTGAAGTGTACCGTTCTGTCTCGCTCGTTCAATTGAATGTTTATATACAGACATGTTTGCGTGTGAGAATAGCTTATGTAGTTAAGTCTGATCATATTTTATTTGATTCTAGTATGAGCGTACGGTATCTTCCCTTTTTGTTTTAATCTAAGATCGTAATAGATTGCGAAAACTTTCTTTATGCTTCTTCGCGCGCTTCGCACTTCGCGAATGTGTTGGATTCGCGATGAAGCTTCCGGTAGCTTTGGTACTAAATGCGCTAGATATTAGCGAACTATTTGTAGTGCGTCAGCGTGGACTTTAAATGTAGAACACGCAGAGCTCGCGATTTACAGCTGACGCACATATTTATTACTTTAAAAAATTAGTATATATTATTATAAGTATAGAAGAAGCAAATTCAGAATAAGCGATGCTCTTAGTTATCAAGCGACACCCTGGCTATGTAATGCCTCATCTCCCGTCACTAGAAGCTAAAATGGTGACCACGAAATTTTAATATTGTTGGTTAACGGAGAAATAGATAAAAAAAATAAGAGGAAAAGTTGCGTATTTACTTACTTTTTGTATAGTTTTTATCAAGTATTGCGGCCGCCAACGACTTCATACGCGTGGAGTTAGTTAGAAATAAAGGTTCACTGCTCGTTCCCCGGTGACAGCGTGATAATGGTGTCGATTCTAGCATGATTCTCTAAACCTAAACTTAAATTTGACAGCAGTATATCCTTGTCATTCTCTATACAGAATGAAAAGGAGAGACTGATGGTTAATTTAGTTTTAAGTTTTGAGAATCACGCCAGAATTGGCACCAATATGTAGCCTATATGTTGATCCGACTGCTTAATAATATTTGTGCCAAATTTGAAGTAAATCCATTCTGTACTTTTTGACTTTATCCTGGACATACATACAGACAAACAGACAAAAATCCTAAAAGCTATATTATTGGCTTCGGTATCGATAGCAGATCACACCCCAAGTATTCTTTTAAAAAAATATTCAATGAACAGATTTTACTTCTCTACCATTTTATTATATGTATAGATGCATGCATTATTTCAGTAAAATTTAATGACTGATCGCAATACCCCGCCCCTTATTAAAAGTTAATTTTCTTTAAAACAGGTATACTCAGTGAACCATGGGGTGGTATCCATTGAGCTTCTGGCTGATGGAGGCAAGCTGAGCATCAATAAAGAATTGATAAAGCGAGGATACGCCGTGCCCTGCGAGGAGAGCTATGACTCCAAGGTAATTTATACATTAATAGGTACTAAAATAAGGTCTGTTTCCTTATATCTAGAATAGATAGGTTTCGTGTCATCCCGCCTGGAGTTATCTTAAATAGTGTATTTTAAATTATATCAGCGAGATCAAATAGTGGCGAAACAATTTGATAATAACAAAGATTTCTTAAATTATGATTTACAAAAATTAGTAATCTTAGTAAATGAATTGGTCAGTTAAATTATTTGCAAAAAAATAATTATCCGTTCTATTTGCGAAATGTTTTCTTCACATTTATAAAATAAATGTCTCATTACATTTCTAAATCAAAATACGAAAATATTTCTACATACTCTTGCTTTATATAATGAAGAAACCAAAATAACTTAATAAAGGTAACTCTTAACATCTTTACAACCTAATACCCTTTTTCTGTACAGATGAATCACGACCTTCGGCAGCAAGCCACAGATTTGAATATGGCCCAGAAGCGGGCATACAACAAGGAACAAACCGAGCAAGCGTTCTTCCAACTGCGAGAACTGGAGCCACCCAACGCTAAAGATTGCATCACCGACGTCATCTTGAAGGGACCTTACAGGTATGACCAGACCTCTCTTTCCCAGTGGGCATTTTGGGCAAGTGCCCAGGGCCCCGCGATCGATAGGGGCCCCCCTCAGATCAAATAGAAAGTCCCTAGTTCCTGTCAGATCACCAAACGATAACCAATATTTATTACCAAAAAAATTATATGATTCGATGAAATCGAACCTAAATTACTGACCACAATACCAACTTGCTCGCCCAAAAATTAGGCTTTCCGACTTCAGCATGCTTAGATAAATTTAACCTGTCAAAACGCGAAGTGAAATTTGAGATATGCTGATTACGTCATCTATAAACGAAATGGCGGCTTCAATAAAAATGGCTTCCGCGCGACAAAAAAAAATATATTACGCTGTAGTCAAATCATTAATTATCATTGCGTGAACGAGAATTTACTAATTGATAAATTTTCTTTCAGTCGGGTAAAAAAATTATGGCAATTATCAATACGTTATATTTTTTTGAGATACCCAAAGTTTACACTACTTTACGCACTTTACGATCTAAAATAAACGAAAAAACGGGCGGATGCCGAGAATCATATATCTAAACTGCCCACTTATGTAAACAAACTAATGAAAGACCCCATTGTTGATAACAAAAACAGCACTTGAAACCAGAGTCCGACCCGACCCAACGAACAAAAAACAAAGTAGGGATGTATCTTGCCGTGCCTTCACTTTTATAGTTTCATCGATATTTGTTCTGTTATTTATAAATAATAATATTAATAATAATAATAATTTATTCCCAAATTTTTTATACAATATGGTTTTACAAATACAGGCACAGGATATTTTAAAACTAAGGATCTGTGGGTACTTAAAATAGGAAAACCCTGTGACTTAAGTACCCACTCTCTTCCAGTGACACAATAAAGTAAATTTACAAGATACCACATTGATTAGAAAATATGATTTTAAATGAAAAACGAAAATTTAAGTTACATTAACAAACAAAAAAAAAACTTTTTTAACAAGAATTAGAACCAATTTAGTTTTATTTTGTAAATAATTTTCATGCAAGACGAGTACGGAATCAAGTCATGTGTAGTAACATCTTCTCAGTTTCTTCATAAGTCAGTGCAAGAAGAAATTGAGTGAGTATGCGTTTTAGATTACAATAATTTAGTGAATATATATTCAACCTCCGGTTTACATTATTATAAATAAAAGGACCTAGAAAAAGTAGAAATCGTTTGCTAAAAGATTTATTAAATAGTTTACTCTTGAAAATCAATTTGTTGCGACGAACCTCTCCTTTATAAGGATCTAAAGGTAGTTTGGAATGTTGGTGTATTAATGTATATAAGATGAATAATTTACGTACTGATAAAACTTCGCAGAATGAGTATAAGGCATCGGTAGGAAACAGAAACGGCTTGAATGTAGCTACTTTTAGAACGAAGAAAGGAGTATAGTTGTCTTAGGAACGCCACCCCAGGATGTAATGCAATACAGAATCAAGGATTGACAAAGAGAGAAGTAAATGGATTTGAGGAGTGATGAATCAGTTACTGTCCTAAGTGACTTGAAAATATAGATCAGTTTGCGAATTCTTGCAGCAAGGACATTGATATGGAGTTTAAAAGATAAATTGCTGTCCAGCAAAACTCCAAGATATTTAATTTCATTTACTCGCTCGATGGACGAACAACAGCAAGAGTTTGTACCCCAACAGGTATGTGCAGTAATTGATAGAGATTCCTCACTTGGCAGATCAACCGTTCTTATAGAGTGAATGATATATTTGGTCTTCTGAACATTAAGTGTGAGACGGTTATTGTTTAGCCATTCGCAAACCATATCAAATCCAGATTGTGCATTTAGAAAGACATCACGCCAAGAATCACTAGAAAAGAAGAGGACAGTGTCATCCGCAAAGGAAAGAAGAGAGCAATTTGGAATGTTAAGGGTGCAAAGATCATTCGCATAAATTAAAAACAGTGTAGGACCAAGAATGCTTCCTTGCGGTACTCCGTATTCAATTTGGAACTCACAACTTTTCTGTCCTTCAATCACGACCGCCTGTTTACGATTTGATAAATAATCTTGAAAAAGGCTAAGTTGATTACCACGTATACCAAGTGTTTCCATTTTGCGCAATAATATAGATATTGGAACGGAATCAAACGCTTTAGCCACATCGAGGAATATTGTAAGACATTTCTTACCCCTATCCAGGTTTTCAATTATTTTGGAAGTTAGTTCAAGAACAGCTTGAGAAGTAGATCGCCCTGCTCGAAAACCATATTGGTTCTGACTAAGAAGATTTTTATTTTCCAGAAATTTGATAAGACGGTTATTTAAGATGCGCTCAAATATCTATCTGGCCGGTTGGGCCAGAATGCTGTGAAACACACCAATGTCTGACATATTCAATTTACATTTTTTAAACAAACTCTTGTCTCTCATTCTGGTACCGGACACAATCCATCAACAAGTGCTGGAGATCTTCTACAACACAGCATACTTCACAGTTGGGAGACTCAATTTTTTTCATAAGATGTCCAAACTTGTTACATGGATAATGTCCAGAACGAAGTCTATTTAAGGTCACTACAAAGTGTCGACTTAATGTTAAATTAATAAACCACGGTATTCGTAGAGGCTGACTCTGTATGGTTTTATACCATATTCCTTTTTCTTTTGATCTTTCATCAAAATATTCTTTCCACTTAAGATAACAACTCTTTTTATATTTTGACAATGTTTCGGAATAAAATTTTCACTGATGCATTTTCACCTTCAATAGATGCTTCTTTTGCTAAGCGGTCAGCCTCTTCGTTGCCGCTAATACCTATATGTGAAGGGACCCATTGCAGTTTAATACTTTTGCCACTAGAATTGATTTCGTGAAGTTTTTGAAGTATCTTATAAGCTACCGGCACACCTCTTTTGCCTGACACGCAACGATTTAAATGTTGAATAGCACTTTTGCTGTCTGACATTATAACAATTTTGCAGAGACCTTCATTAATAGAGTATGTAATAGCTTCATGAATGGCAATCAATTCTAGTGACATTACAGATACATCAGTAAGCACCTTAAAACAAGCCTTAGCTCCTCTGCTTGCTGCTCCTAGACCAGTTATAGATTTGGATCGAACCCGCATCCTTCGCAGTCCGGGCGAATGCACTGACCATTATGCTACCACGGCCCTATTAGCCGCGTCGAAATTTTCCTAGCCTTAAGCTGCAAGGCAGCGCCATCTCTTCGCATTGTAGGCAACCTACAATGTCAAATGAATACTTTTTCAAGTATTAAACATTTGAAAGAAGAAATAGCAATTATAGTTATGATTTTTATTTAATTTTAAGCATTTAACTGCTAGATGTTTAAATCTAAAGAAAAGTTTACTAGAAAAAAAATCCACGCGGACCAGGCAGCGGACGGGACTCGAACCCGCATCCTTCGCAATCCGGGCGAATGCACTGACCATTATGCTACCGCGGCCCTCACGGACCGCGTCGAAATTCCTCTAGCCATTCTTAAGCTGCAAGGCAGCGCCATCTCTTCGCATTATAGGTAATCCACAATGACAAATGAATACTTTTACAAGTATTAAACATTTGAAAGAAGAAATAGTAATTATAGTTATAATTTTTATTTTTTTAAAGCTGTAACTGCTTGATATTTAAATCTACCACAAATATTTACAAATAGACCTTCCAATTCGCAGTTCATCTAAAGCTACTGTAACACTATCAATCGAGATAGTATTGTACGCATTTTCAACATCTAGGAAGCAAGCTAATGTAGGTACATTTTTAGTATATCCCAGTTGTATTTCAGTAACAAAACGTACAAGACAATCTACAGTAGAATGACATCTTCTAAAGCCTGTGGTATAAGGTGATATCACTTTATGTTTCTCAATATACCATTCGATGCGCTTAGCTATCATGGAATGAAGTATTTTACAAAGGCAAGAAATAACGGAAATAGGTCTTAATTTATCAGAATTAAGTTTAGGTATAGGTATAATTGAAATATCCCGCCATTGTTCTGGTATATTACTAGAGTGAAAAATCATATTATACAATGTTAGAAGGTACTGTTTCCCCTCGTCGGCGTATAATACGTAATATCATCTTCTCCAGGAGACGTGTCTTTACTTTTAATACAATTGTTTAATTCTTGTAATGTAAAATCTGCCTCCAATAACTCATTTTTAGAGTTAAACATTGGACAGGTATTCTGAGCTGAATCGGGAGTCAAGGAACAATAATTATTAAGCTTCTCTTCAGATGAGTACTGTCTAAGCTGTTGACCACCCTTTATCCATTTCATACGGCGCCACCTAAAGTTAACAGTTTGACTGCGCAATAGACAAGTTTATTTCTACTTAACCCAATGGGTATTCAAAGCGTATTTTATCTCGAAGTAGAGCGCTCGTCGGAGAATATTACGGAAATGAGTTAGTAGCAACTTTTCTGTCATTAACTTACTGTTCGGAGTAATTTCGACAACGTTACTGTTATGACCCCTATCTCGTGTGTCACAGTTTCCATACTTGTCTTTTGTAAGCAATTGGCTTGATAAATTAAGAGCTCTATAGTAATTCATTTCCGTGGACAGTATGTAATAAATCTTGATCGACCTAAAGTTTGACTGCGCAATAGACAAGTTTATTTCTACATACCCCGATGCGTATTCACAACGTATTTTAGCTCGAAGTAGAGCGCTCGTCGGAGAAAGGCACTTCTACCTTACACAAGACTACATTGAAATAACACTAACACAACTTTTAGTGATCTTGTGTTTCTGCTGGTAACCAAGGTTTTTAGAGCTTCACGAAATAGAAGTACACTGAAACCTTTAGAACAAGAACTAAAGCATAAAAGTAATATCATAGCGTACACTCCCATAAGCAAAAGATTTCTAAAGAAAATATTACCTAACCAATAAGTTTTTGTGGCGTGTTTGCAGTTTGCATTTGACATAAGATCGCTTTTTGATTCGGTATCGTAAAGGTAACCAAGGTACGATCAAAGGCATATGAAGCAACAAGGTATCTAATTTGACGTTTTGTGTAATGGGACGCACGCTTTTCATAGCAACATATATTTGTCTCTTTTTTATCTATATATAAAAATAAGATAACTATATTGGTCAACTTTATCAGTTGAATTTAAACTCTTTCTATGCTTTACTTCTTGTTTTGAGACTGAAACGAAACACGTCACTAGTACCTATATTTATTATTTGTGTTTTTTGTTTCTGATGTTTTAAAGCCCCAATATTATTGTTGCAGTCCACTAGAAACTGTCCTCCATAACCTGATGTACGCCAGTCGCGAGAAGCAAGTCACAATTGAATGGCACTCTGTCAACTCCGTCCTTTTGGACACTGAACCACAAGAGGTCTACGAAAGGTATGCATTTTGCTTAGCATTGTTCTTATTGTTTAGTCCGAAAAAAAAATATTTTCAGCACATTTGCTCATCATACAAAGCATTTACGAAGGTTGTATACATTATTCAAAAATTCAAAATTACGGGCCATTCAGTGGAGCGGGCGGTGAAATTCATTACGCAAAATCCCATGCATGACACCATGCGTATTATTTACGGTTTTTTTTAATTCGATCGAATCTCTTTGGAAGCGCTTTTATGGGCTGTATGGGCATTGATCCTTTTGCCTTCCCTGGAAAGGGAGAACTACAAAAAAAAGAGGCGAAAGATGTATCTCTAATTTTCACCACCCGTATGTTCATTACTTAAATTATGTATAATGTTTTCTCGCAAATGTGTAAAAAAAGTTCTTTGATATTCGGGCTTATTGGTATTACAAATTCGTGACTATGGTAAGCCCTCTTTTTATGAAATAATTTTTACGTGACAAAATACATTGATATGGTAAAACAAATCGCAGGATTTTTCAAGTAACTATGTTTTCTTGATCTTATTAAGTTACTAGATGTTCAGTTACAGTTATACTTAATCATGATCATGTTCTTGTTTTTATTCAAACAATTAATAGTAAAACTAGTAAAAACCGAAAATGTAATTGAGACCCAAACAAGAAGAAACATTTTCATTCGTTTGTGCACATCCATCAATCTACCGAAGATTCTATCCATTTAAACATTGTTTATTTTTGGACGCAATTGGCAGGATTTAAATATTTATTCAGGACTCTATTTCTCAAACTTTTACTTCTTCTATCATCTCTTTTTTATATTTGTGAAAGAGATCAGCTTATCAGACACATTTACTCTCAATTTAGTTTTGAACAGAATCGCAGAATGAGTAAAAGGATAAATATATGATGTAAATAAACGATTTATCGATTCGAATTCGAGTTGAATTCGATCTATTTTTTATGTCAAATGTGATGTGGTGAAAAGGATTTTTAATTCTCGTTACGTCTGTTCAAGTTTTCATACAAAATTTGGCAGTGACTTTTCGCACTCGAAAAATATTCAAATTCGATATTGGTTCATGCTAAGGGTGCGGTTGTTTTTCGTCTAATAGTTTGTAAATTTGTGTATTATTGCGTTTCCGTTAAGGTTGGTAGTGGCATCGGACGTTGGGCAGAACGAAGCGAGCAGTAAACTGACTCTGCGGCATACTACGCTCATGCCCAACATTCCCGGCCTGCCTGCGATCATCGCCCTGCTATTTTGTCCAGTGTAAGTAACAAGATAATGTACTTTACTGATTATTGTATTAAGGTTTTAAATTACGAATACTATTTAGGATCCGAGTAACAATATACTTTTATCATTATCATAAGCCCTTTAATATGCCCCACTGCTAGGGCACAGGCCTTCCGTATGGATGGATAAGGAGATTGGGCCATCAACCTCCTCAGTAAAGGTCTACTTGCATTGATTTTGACTGAACTAGATTTAATTCATAGAAAAATGTCAGGGCTAAATATTATGTTTCAGTTAAATTCAGATTTAGCGCAATTGCTGTTAATAGACCTTACTTTGTACTAAAAAGTTAATAAAATGATTTCGGAAGGAGTTCGTACGTCGCGAGTCAATGGGATCACTTCTGGCATGACTCTCTCAATCTAAAGTTAATTTGACAACACTATATCTTTGTCATTCTCTATAATGAATGAAAAGGAGAGTGTGATGTCAAATTTAGTTTTAAATTCCAAAAATCATGTCAGGATCGACACCAAATAACTACCTATTTCGTACAAAATAAAATACTTTTGTTCCTATCGTATATCAGAGCGGAGTTACGTCGCGACGTGTGCGGCACCCGCTACGTGAGCACACTGTGCGGTCTGGGCAGTACGGACGATGGCTCCCCCTACTTCCCAGAGCACGACCTGCTGGTCAGCATCGACGCGGAGCTGAACGTAGAGGATATCGGCCTGGTGAGTGATGACGTCAGCCGGGCACAGGTGCTACGTGAGCACCCTGTGCGGTCTGGGCAGTACGGACGGTGGCGCCTCCTACTTCCCAAAACACGACCTGCTGGTCACCATCGACGCGGAGCTGAACGTAGAGGATATCGGCCTGGTGAGTGATGACGTCAGCCGGGCACAGGTGCTACGTGAGCGCCCTGTGCGGTCTGGGCAGTACGGACGGTGGCGCCTCCTACTTCCCAAAACACGACCTGCTGGTCAGCATCGACGCGGAGCTGAACGTAGAGGATATTGGCCTGGTGAGTGATGACGTCAGCCGGGCACAGGTGCTACGTGAGCACCCTGTGTGGTCTGGGCAGAACGGACGGTGGCGCCTCCTACTTCCCAGAACACGACCTGCTGGTCAGCATCGACGCGGAGCTGAACGTAGAGGATATCGGCCTGGTGAGTGACGACGTCAGCCGGGCACAGGTGCTACGTGAGCACCCTGTGCGGTCTGGGCAGTACGGACGGTGGCGCCTCCTACTTCCCAGAACACGACCTGCTGGTCAGCATCGACGCGGAGCTGAACGTAGAGGATATCGGCCTGGTGAGTGATGACGTCAGCCGGGCACAGGTGCTACGTGAGCACCCTGTGCGGTCTGGGCAGTACGGACGGTGGCGCCTCCTACTTCCCAGAACACGACCTGCTGGTCAGCATCAACGCGGAGCTGAACGTAGAGGATATCGGCCTGGTGAGTGATGACGACACCCGGGCACAGGTGCTACGTGAGCACCCTGTGCGATCTGGGCAGTACGGACGGTGGCGCCCCCTATCCCAGAGCACGACCTGCTGGTCAGCATCAATGCGGAGCTGAACGTGGAAGATATCGGCCTGATGAGTGGTGAAGTCACCCGGGCACAGGTGCTACGTGAGCACCCTGTGCGGTCTGGGCAGTACGGACGGTGGCACCCCCTATTTCCTCGAGCATAAGCTGCTGGTCATCATCGAAGCGAAGCTGAACATAGAGGATATCGGCCTGGTGAGTGTTGTCGTTACACCATAGATATAGGATGTAAAGATGTACAGAGTTTTGAAGGGTTCTTCCCGAAGGGAGAAACTCAAATGTATCTATCCTAATGTACCTATATATGTAGTACCTATCGCTACTGTTCCAAAAAATTTGTAGGGTATTTAAAAGTTTTAGAAAATGATCTCTCATTATTAACTAATGTTAATGGAGTCCATAAAAAGTGGATATTTATTATTCTGTTTATTTCATTAAAAAAAAATAGCCTCTTCTGAAAAAAGCATTACTATTTATTTTCTATCTATTAAAAGCTTGGCTTTCTTGCTTAGAAATGAAGCTAATTTTGTCTACACGAAGCCATAAGTCCTAGCTTGGAGAAACAAGCCTCGTGTATCCCCATGAGTTCTGAGAGTTAGCCTAACAATGAAACTAAGTGACTTCTCTCTTTCATATGATGCCACATTTCCGTGTGCATCAAATATGGCAAGGGCGCATCTAATAATTTGAATCTCTGCATCATCAATAAAACGACCACTATTGGGTATAGGCCTCCCTAAGCGATCGACTATTCAATAGTTTTATCCAATCCACTATTTTGGCAGATTAACCACATTCGCCACCTGATGGACTACATGATGAATTGTAGCGAAGGACAAGATATACCCACCGCTGACGACGAGGCGCGCCCACAAGTGCCCGCCGCTATCAAAAAGGATTTGATGACGTAAGCCTACAACTATTATTAGTTACTGGCGGTCGCCTGTGACTTTGTTCGCGTTAACTTTAGGTTTAATAGAATCCCACAGGATCCTTACTTTTTTCGGGATAAAAAATATCCTATGTCTCGATCCAAGTTATAAACTATATGCATATTGAAATTGATCCAAATCCGTTCAGTAGTTTTTGCGTGAAAGCCTAACAATGAAACTCACTTTCGCAATTATAATGTTAGTTAGGATTAGGATTTTATAATGATAATAGTGATAGTGGTATCGTCTGCTTGGTTTGACTTCCGAATACAAAATTTCATGTCCTTCAAGTTTTCATTTTTAAGACATAAAGTAACATTATATCCGTGTCCAATGTCTCATATATATACCAAGATTCAGCATAATCGGTTCAATAGTATAGGCGTGCAAGCGCAACAAAAAAAAAACATTCGCATTCATAAAGCCTCGATGATACGGAGCTAGTTGCAAGCTACAAGCCAGCGAGTGTGCTAGCACTAGAGTTTTGACAGCTCCGTTGTCGTATCGTCATTTTTGTATGGAAAGAGTCAGTTTGTTCTTTCGTCCGGGAGTGGCGCTGCTTAGTTTTCATAGAAACTTTGGCGATGTTCATGCTTGAGTTTCTAATCCCTACTAAAAATCAGAATAAGGTAATCTTATATAGTACTAGTTGTTCTTGACCTGTGTAAGTTGCGGTCTAAAGATTTCCTAGAACAAAATAACAAAGTTTCAAAGCAGGACTAATGCAAACAGAAACTAGTTTTTATTTGCGTAGCCTAAGCAGCAAATTAGTCTTAAGCAGAAGCATTATAAAAATTATTTTGGATCGGAACAGTAAACGATATTGCTCAAGATTTATCTTCATATTTACTTTCATTCTGTTGATGAAGTCGATGCTTGAGGGCGACTCGCAGTAATTAGCAATCGCAACATTTTATTTATCTCTTTCAACAAACTTTTTTCAGTACAGTTATCAAAATCGATACCATTTTCAAGTTTGTTAAAAAAAATCTATTTGAAACTAGTGACCCGCCCTCGCTTCGCTCCGTTGTAGAGCTGTAGTGTAGGTAGACTATAGTTTTTGTTCTCAGGCATTGTACTATACACAATGAATTTCTTTATATAATTATTTTCTCATCTTTTAAATCTTCCCTAGACCTCCACGAACATTTCAAGACCAAGATAAGATAAATCCGTTCAGCCGTTCTCGAGTTTTAGCGAGACTAACGAACAGCAATTAATTTTTATATAATAACTAGCTGACCCAGCGAACTTCGTACCGCCCTAAAAAAATAGGGGTTGTCCAGCGGACAAAATTGTGAATCTAAACCATTCTCAGATCCCCTTGAACACACACAAAAAATTTCATCAAAATCGGTCCAGTGGTTTAAGAGAAGTTCAGTGACATACACACTCACAGAAGAATTATATATATAAAGATATATAGATGTATCAATTCCATTGTTTTCTCAACCAATTTTATGTCGGAAAGAACTAAAAGGAAACCTAACTGAACGGATATATTTATTAAATTTCCCAGCCTATTGATGAAGCGTCGTAAACATCGCGAACCTCAGACCGTAATAAACGCGTGGGAATGGAAATCCGTGCCCGAGGACGAATTGCTCGAGATCTCTGTACCGGATATGGTGGATCGTGCGGAAGTGTTCCCGTTACATACGCCCCAAGAGTTACACCCCATACCGATGGAGACACTGATGCAGCTGAAACGGGACAATGATCATCTTGCCATTCTGGTCAGCAGGTGAGGAAATGTGACATCATTAGTATACTAGCGGCCGTCCGCGACTTCGTCCGCGTTAACTTTAGTTTTTTGAGAGCCGAATTGCTCGAGATCTCTGTACCGGATACTGTGGATCGTGCGGAAGTGTTCCCGTTGCATACGCCCCAAGAGTTACACCCCATACCGATTGAGACACTGATGCAGCTGAAACAGGTCAATGTTCATCTTGCCAATCTGGTCAGCAGCTGAGGAAATGTGACATCTATAGTATACTATGATGACCTCCGTGGCCGAGTGGTTTGTACACCGGGTTTCATGGTGTCGCCGACCCGAGAGGTCCCGGTTTCGAATCCCGGTGGGGGCAGATGTTTGTGTGATGAATACGAACATTTGTACTCCAGTCATGGATGTTTAATATGTATTTATATAAATATACTTATATATGTACTAGTATCCCATAACACAAGCCTTAGTGCTTACTTTGGGCTAGGCTAATTGGTGTGTGTGTTGGAAATATTTATTTATTCTAAAACGAGGACTAAAGTTAGTCTTTGTTTAAACCTAGTTTTGTGTCTGTATTCCTTTAAGCAAATGAAGTCAAAGCATCTGTTTTAGTACAGGTTTAACTTTAAGTCTCTTAATATATGGACTTCATGCTGTTGCTGTGGTGCAGTCCGTCTGATGTTAGCCTTAGAACCGATGTTTTGTATTGTTCACGAATAACTACAATCACTTTGTTCAATGTATTTTTTTCTCATATGCAGAACGTGTATATCGTCGAGTCAAGAGCTCCAGTGCAAACTTTGCAACACTGGAATGATGCCGGTGCACGCAATGCGAATCCATCTTTACTCCAATTCGCATAAAGAAAAGGAGGATGATCTACGCATGTTCCAATCGTGAATCACTGCACATGTCCTTCTAACCCCGCCTTTACACCAAGGTATAATATGTACATGTATTTAAAAAAAACAACAATGTCTTAATTTCTTTTGTCACTTCTTTACATGTATAAAACATGTAGTAAACAATTCTTGTATGAAACTTGTTGGATTAACAAAATATGTTAAGTAAATAAGTGATTTATTCTTGTCAGACTACTAGTTTTCTATGCAGTGATAACGAACTAATGTTTTTAACAGCCACAACAAGCATTCTACAAGTTTTGGTTTAAAACTAGTTTAGGACTTGTTTCTTGGTGGAAACGAGGGGTTAGTATTGATTGTTAACGTTAGAAAACGCTATACAATATAATTAAAGTGCGAAAAGGATCTTATGAATTTAGCGGAAATTGGAACTAACGCCGCCGATTTTGTAAACGTCATATTTTATGTGTCATTTACGTAGACAGCAGCGCCCTCCCTGAACTGTCCCTGTCTGTCACATTCATTAAGATCCTTGTCGCACCGTAATGTTGATCTATGGAAATCTTTCGGATTCTTTAATAAATTAATCAATTAGTGATACTGAGAAGCCAGTACTCTTTATTTTCATTATGATTTCTATGCAGGTTTTTGTTGTTGTCTTTTTTTGAGTCTATGTAAACGATCGCTAATTATCGCGAGTATTCCATGACTAGTTAATGTACCATGTAAGCAAAGTGTCAATTTATTAGTTACGAGACTAGTTAAGCGTATTTGTTATACGTATTTTTTTTACTTTTTGTCTTAATTTTTATGTTTATCTTAATTTAGTATGACCGCTTAGCACCAAATTTAACCTATAAAGTGACACTGAGAATTATTTAAATTTTTTTGAGAATAAGGCGTCAAGAATTTACTTATATTGATTAGTATCGAAGAATTTCTCTAGAAATTCTTTAATATTTTTGTGATCTAGATGTAAGTTAAGGTAAGTATGTACATCTGTTGAGTGTGCACCCGATTACAGATTAAAAGCCGCAGGCTTACCATTTTCGTTGAGTGTACTTTATATATGTTATGATGATAAAATATTTAGGAAGACAAAGTATTATTAAAGAAGTACCTAATACCTATCAGACTGTTAATTAAATCTTTAATTTGTTACTTAGTTATTTTAGTGTATTCATACAAGATAACGATTTAGTAATAGTTTTAAGTAAAAATTAAATAGGTATAAGGTCTGATCTGATTATTGTTATATTTTGTAATAAATCCATATATAAAACTAAATTATTTTCTTTCTATTAACTTAATCTTAAACACAATTTAGGTAATTTCAGAGTGAAATAAGGTCCCGCGGTGCGTGCTTCGAGCATTTCAAGCGATACTAGTCAAAGTATGCAGATAAACTTTCAAAATTATTTCACACTGAAAGTGCTCGCCTTGCGTCTCTGCCGGCCGCTGCTATTACGGTTTGAATCCGTCCTTACAGTTCGCAATAACGTACCCTAAATTGTGTAGTTTCCCTTTCGGACATTTACCATCACACATCTAAATACTTTAAAATTATAATAATTCCATACTATAATATAACATATAGGTATGTTATTTACAAATATGTGCCGTTTTAGGATGTTTTGTAAACGATATAAATCAAAAATTGTGTATGGGGTTGTAGTACTTCATGGATGAATGTGTAAAAATTATTCATTAAATTTAGCGAGGTAGATACTTATGAAGTAACACAGAAGACCACAGTGAATATACTACCTTTAGCATGTTAGGAAATGTGCCTAGCCACGCCACCAATCCTACTGGGCGATTATTTATTTCATAATTAAAACGAGTAATTAATGGACATTTACCAACAATTAATAAACATTTTGATCTGTTTTATTACTTTTCATACAAATTACTTTCGTGGTGTGGACACGAAGTACAAAATTTGTTTACTTAACATGCTTGTAAGTCCGTTCCAATGAGGATCCGTAACGATTTTGGTTGAGAATGCAGATTTTTAGAGCTAAGGATTTTATGAAATACAGTGGTTAAGTTTTTGTTCTACAACAAATATTAACGAAGTTATGACATACAAAACTGTTATAAAACCTATTTTTGGTTTATATAGGTACTTAAATGTTTTTTTTAATCTAAAATTTAAATGTGTCAAGTCAGCTGATTTTACTTGTCAATTAAAACTCTTGCATCACGCACGTACAAACTTTTATTTCTATAATTATGCAACAAAATCGTTATCAGCACGAAGGCTCTGTATATTTTCTCTTTTCAGTTGAGATATTTGCGTGATATTTGTGTCCCAAGCCTGTAGGGAATATTTTTTGAAATATGCCCGGAGACGGTGATTCCATCACACCCGTAAGTGTAACAACAAGTAAGTCTCTTCATAGAGCAACGGGTTCTTTGTCTCAGCAGGTAAGAGTTTTAAGCTGTAGAAATGATTATTCCGACTGTAAATTCAAAATGAAAATGTACCTACTGCACCTGCACGAAGATTTGTGGGAAACGATAATTGGTTACCCTGAAAATGACGTTACGCCTACTACCGTAAAGATCGCAAATGATCAAAAAGCTCTATCCAAAATTTGTCTGACTTTGGAAGGTCCCGCTGTGACACATGTTCGGCAGGCTGAATCTGCAAAACAAGCATGGGACGCTTTGGCCGCTGTGTTTGGAGATAGAGGCATGGGTAGAAGACTTGCTTTAGAACGTAAACTGTACAGATACACCCTTAGAGTTTTTGACAACAATATCGAAGAGTATATTGACGCAGTGTTGAGAACTGCACAAGTCTTGATAGATATTGGTGTAAAAATAGAAGATGCCACTATCGGAGCAAGACTGCTCGGAGGATTGGGTCCTCAATATGAACCTATGATAATGGCTTTGGAAAATTCAAATGTCCAGATTACAACTGAATTGGTTAAGGGTAGATTACCGAATGAATGTTCTAAACAGTTTCATCATCCGTCTACTTCGGCATTACGTACATCCTGTAAAAATAGTGAAAGAGAGAATAAACCAACTAAGAGGTTTTCAAAGCACAAGAAGCAAGTGTTTTGCTATGATTGTCACAAACGTCCCGATTGTCCTTATAAGGAGAAGAAAGTCGATTCAGAGCGATCAACGACGAAATGGTTTATTGATTCCGGCGCCACAAATCATATGAGTTGCAATACTGAATATATGGAAAATGTGAGGTATTTCAATAATTCTAGAAACGAGTCGGTCACCGTTGCAAATGGTGATAAAATAATTTGCACTGGTATTGGAGACATAAAATTTGATACTCCGGACTGTGAAGGTAACATGAAGAATATTGCTATTGTTCCTAATTTAAACTGTAATTTAATTTCTGTTAAGAAAATAGCTGAAAATGGTATAATTAGTGTTTTTGATAATAAAGGTTGTAAGTTTTATAAAAACTTTAGTTGTAGCGGAGATCTTGTAATGCGTGGTCATGTTTCTAGAGGGTTGTACACTTTAGATCGTTCAATTAATATGCCCCGAAAATTAGTTGCTTCTAATGTGCTCCTTGACCAGTCCTACCATCTTTGGCATAGGCGCTTAGGCCATCTATGCCGTATAGGGATGGATCAACTTAAAAAGGGAATGGCAACTGGCATAGATTATAAGGAGGTCAATAAAGAACCGTGTTCCTTGTGTTGAAGGTAAAGCAACTAGGAAACAATTTAAGCGGCTTATTTATAGGAAAACTACAAAAATTTTAGATTTGATACATGCTGATCTGTGTGGACCTATGTCTACAACCTCTTTTCAGGGAAATTAGTATGTTTTAGTCATGGTAGATGACTATTCAAGGATGATATTTACTTATTTTATTGCATCGAAGAATGATGTAAAGAAAATATTTGTTGCTTTTAAGTCCTTTGTTGAGAATCAGACGGGAAGTACTATCAAACGATTGAGAACTGACAACGGAACAGAATTTGTAAATAGGGAGTTGGATAATTATTTATGTTCGCAGGGTATAGTGCATGAGACCACTGTTCCTTACAGTCCTCAACAGAATGGGGTGGCTGAACGTACAAATCGTACACTTGTTGAAAAGGCACGTTGTATGTTATCAGAAGCTGCGTTGCCTCGGGCCTACTGGGAGGATGCGTTGGATACAGCAGTATATCTTAAAAATAGATCTCCTCATCGCGCCCTCGAAGGCCGAACGGCTTATAAAATGTGGTATGGAGCCAAGCCGAATTTATCACATCTTAAAGTATTTGGATATCTAGAGCCTTAGTCCATGTTCCAGACTGTTTAAGAAAGAAGCTCGATTTCAAAGCTTCTGAACAAATTTTTGTCGGCTATTCAGAGTTACTATATTGGTGATAGTCCTTTTCCCAGGAAAAAGGTTAAAGCACGGGATATAAAATTTTTTGAGAACCATTTTAGTAGTTTAAAAGATAGTTGTAATAATGATAAGTCTAAGGTTTCAACTAATGATTAATACACACCTTTATTTTTAAGTAATTCAACCATCGAAACTACTTTGGCGACAAGTGACGAGGAACTACAGCCTTCTACCACTGGAAGCGTCAGTAATAATGTTGTCGTACCTGACACTGCCGCCGAAGATTCCATTCAACAAGAATCTGAAGAAGGCACAAATGTCAATACTACCATTGAACATTTTGGTGAGTCACAGTCACAAGGTGAATCAGAAAGGGTCTTAGATTCTGAAGGTGAATGTGAAACAGTTGAGTCTATTCGCCGTTATCCATCACGCAACAGGAAGCAAAAAAACTTCGGTTCTGATTATCTACTATATAAGTCTAGTATGGAGATTGTTGGTGATGAGCCCTGTAGTTATTCAGAAGCTATAAATGCGGACGATAAAGTCAGTTGGCAATTGGCAATGGATGCTGAATATAAATCATTAATAGAAAGAGGAACTTGGACTCTAGTAAATCGGGTCTACAAATTGAAGACAGACGAGCTTGGCAATGTTGTCAAATATAAGGCAAGGTTGGTTGCAAAGGGCTTTTCTCAAGAAGCGGGCATCGACTACTTTGAAACCTTTTCTACGGTGGTGAAGAATTCTTCCCTTAGGACGTTGCTAGCAATAGCAGTTGAAGAAGGTTATAAGTTGAAGCATATGGATGTAGACACCGCCTTCCTCAACGGAGACTTAAGAGGAAGAAGTCTTTATGGAGCAACCACTTGGCTTCTGTAGACGGAAGAACAAAGTCTGTTTGCTAAAAAAGTCGCTATATGGCTTGAAGCAAGCTGCTCGAGCATGGAATATAAGAGACATGTGTATATACAAAACTTTTTGGAGACTCGGAAAAAGTCATACTGGCGGTTTACGTCGATGACTTGATTTTATTTCACAAAACTGACAAGTCATATCATTCTGTCAGAGATGGTTTGTCAAAATATTTGCCATTAAAGACCTGGGCGAATTAAAATTTTGTTTGGGATTAAATATTGAGTACAAAGGAAACAGCATTGAAATAAATCAAAAAACGTATATAATGAGTTTATTGAAGCGTTTTGGATTGGATCAATGCAAGACGTTTTCTACACCGTTGGCACACAATAAACTGGAAGCCAGTAAAGACGGTGAAGTATGTTCGTACCCGTATCAATGTCTTATTGGTTGTTTGATGTACATAGCTGTTAACACCAGGCCAGATATTGCGTACACTGTAAGTTACTTGAGTCAGTTCAATACAAGGTACTGCTGCTAAACGTGTACTTCAATATTTGAAAGGTACTATTGATCATGGTATTACTTACAGGAAGACGGGTGAGTACCTTAATGGTTTCGCGGATGCTGATTGGGGAAATTGTGCTGCTGATCGTCGTTCCTATACGGGGCTCTTTATGCAAGCCGGTGGTCTGATCTCTTGGGAGTCAAAGAAACAACCCACCGTGGCTCTTTCGTCGACGGAAGCGGAATATATATCTTTATGTAGTGCTACCAAAGAGGCAATATTTTTACGCAGATTTCTTTATGAAGTTACAGGTAAGCAAAATGAAATTGTTATCTGTAGTGACAGTCAGGGAGCACAAAAGATAGCTACCAATCCTATTTATCATAAAAGGACAAAGCATATTGATGTACGGTTCCATTTTATTCGCGAAAAGATAGCTGACAAGATCGTTACTCTACAATACGTTCGTAGTGCAGACTTGACATGACTGCGGATATATTAACAAAACCTTTAGGTAGAATGGCACATAACAAGTGTGTAAATAAAATGGGATTAGGTTAAATTGTTTTTGATACCCATTGTTTTATTTTGTTGTTGTTATGTAGCTATAGTGTTTTATTTGTATAAATTTTAGATTAAGTGGGGCTGTTATAAAACCTATTTTTGGTTATATAGGTACTTAAATGTTTGTTTTTAATCTAAAATTTAAATATGTGTCAAGTCAGCTGATTTTACTTGTCAATTAAAACTCTTGCATCACGCACGTACAAACTTTTATTTCTATAATTATACAACAAAAACGAA